GGAATGACTATATACTTAATTTTAATCATGTAATAAACTCAATATTTTTGGTTAGTAGTATCAAAATTTTTATTTTAAACTAAGGGGGCGTCACAATTATACGACAGTACAATTTTTGGCGTGGCAGTGAAGTGTCTTAGGGTCGTATTCCAGAACTCTACTCTATACTCAAGTCAGGACTTGAGTATGATTCAAAGCACTCGAAATCATACTCAAGTCCCTGCCATTAGGGTCGTATTTCCAGTGCTTGTGTTTCCAGTGCAATCTTGACTTGAGCATTGAGTAGAGTTCTAGAATACGACCCTTAATATTTTTCTCGACCACTTTACAATAACAATATGTAGGTACTTTTTGCTGCTAATGAGCACCTACTGTTTTTCTATAACTGAAACTGTTTTTCGCGATTGTTACATATAACGTAAAGGGCCCGAAACGTCGGTTTGTTTGTAAAAACAAATATATGCGATTTAAATCCAGAAAAATAGTTTCATTTCCTAAAATTATTTTTTGCTCTGTTTCTACATTCAAACATTTAAAGTGTGTTTTACACCCTTCCCAAAAAATCCACTGCAGGATTCTGCGTTAAATGAACTATTTGTATGCTTAACCGTCTGAAGGTCATCGCTGGGCACGAACAATAAACGCACTACAAAATTAATAACTGTAGCTGGAAAAACCACGAACTAACATTTTATGCTTATAAATTTCAGACTACAGCCTCTGTAGGTTAAATTTCCGACATAGGTAGAGTTTTAGTACGGTTGTCCACTATGCTCACTGGTCACTGGTCCAATGGGAGTTGCGACTTCACAATCTTTTGAAATGTTTAGGATTTTTTTAAATAGCAGAACTGGGTCTGGGATGAAATCTTATGATTACTAGACAAAGGGTCCTACTACATAATCCAATATAGATTATCTTAGTGCATAATTTTCTATTTGTTTGCTGTAATACGTGTAAGTGTGCAACGTAAGACGAAAACGCCGTAGCCGACAGCAAATATAAATTTGTAAAACTACAGACGAGCGAACCCAATATTTATACATATATATAATGTCCTTGGAAAGGAAGGACGCTGGTCAGCAACACTGCCATACTTTTCTTTTATACTGCTTCGAGTGACCGTGAACATTGTGAGGAAAATAATAATGGCAAACTTAACCATCATTTTTATCTATCTCATGAATTATTTATCTATCACTATCAAATTTCTAATTAGGAATTCCTTGAGTGCCTACCAGAGCAACAGAATTCACTCCGGGAACCAGAACCAAATTAGAAAGCTAATTTTCCAAACCGGGAATCGAACCAGGGACTTCCTCGTCCAATGCCCGCAATGCAAACCGTTGGACCGTTGATATTTTATGGAATTAGGTTGGTGCTTAAGTTCCTAAATAGCGATTGAGTTCTGAGATTCAATAGCTCAGGTTTTCACGAGCTTGTTCCAATATTTTAACCGACTTCAAAAAAGGAGGAGGTTCTCAATTCGACTGCATGTTTTTTTTGTATGTATGTTACGCGATAACTCACATGTCAGAACTGATTTTGTTGATTCTTTTTTGTTGGAGAGTGGTTCCATTTTTATATGAAGAAAACATTCCACCTCTAAGGGTGGTAAACTATGAGACGAATTACTTTTGAGGTCGGTTTTTTTAGCACTCTGCACTGAAATTATGTTCATTCCAAATAACCTTTGGTAGAGCGGTGAAACAGGAATGATGACAACGTGAGTCGCTGAACCAGAATCAAAGACCATGACCAAAGAACACAACAATTTACAAAGCGAAACCTAAATAACATTATACCTCTTGCCGTTGAAAAAAACTAAGCAGTCAGAGTGGTAGCCAAGACTGGAAAAAGGTCTATATCTCACCAGTGACGCGCACGCAATGGTCAGACGTAATCATTGAGGAAGGTCAATGGCTCAATGTTGTGAGGGAGTGATGGCAAACAAAGACGTTAACAAATAAGAATGACTTTTGCCTGAAATTAATGGACGTGTGCTAATTACAAACCTACGGAAGGGATTACAGCCGTATGATACCGCTAGTACAATGTGGCTAGTGATCAGTAGTTGCCTTCCCGGATAAAAGTATATGACACTTAGTATGCACACAAGTCTTATGAACACATTTGTACCGTAACGAAAACTCATACCAAATTTGGTCTTACTCTCACATTATATCATAACTTACAATACTTTAATGAAGTAGCATTAACTCGTATTGGTTCAAGCAGATACAAAACAGCCTTTACTTTTAATAGTTTAAAACGTATTTATTGTTTTTTAAATCCGCCAACTCAGTTTAAGAAGCAAATTCTGATTTCTAACCTTAAAGAGCTAGACTAGACAGTTGCAGACCGCAGACTAAAAGGAACAAAGGGCGGCGGTAGCACCTATTTATGAACTCTCTATATGGGGTTAATGCACTGGCGTTTTCTCGAATTTTCTATTCAATCTTAACGTTTAACTTTTTACAAAGGCTATCAAGATGAAAAAAGTCATTTGTTGTTTAATAAAAATATTCTATTTTCTAGAAAAATTTAACTACATTTTTCACTCCTAAGATATAAATAACATCAGCTGTTCATCGATTTGAATAATAAGTGAAATAAATGTGGAATATTATAATAATCGTTAAAAGTTATTTTGTTTTAGTGACGCGTTAAAGTTTTGGGGTTAACAAAAATAACCTTGAACGTAGAAACAATGTGACTGTGTGATACGTCACTTTTGATACGAGTCACCCCACCCTCTATGTTATGCTATAGTCCACCTCACGAACGCAATGATTTGGACCTGGGAAGTTGACATATCTTTGTACTATTTGTTTTGAAAAAATATATATACGCGATTTAGATTCGAAGAAATATTTTCATTTCCTCTGCGTAACAATCGCAAAAATATAAGTTCTCGGATTATGTTAAGAAAGTGACAATGCAGTGGCATAAAGAATACTTATCATGATTATGAATTAATTGTCCTTAAACACTTCTATTATGGCATTTATAAGATCTCTGCAGGCTGATTTTAATTCAAGTCTCGAAATCAGAAGGGTTTCCAAGCGTGAAGATAAACCTGAATCCTACAATACCTTTCTAATTTGTGAGTTAAATCAACTACTGTTCCGATTAGAAATGTCAAAAGTTTCCGATCGGCCAGTTGTGAATGGCAATTATGCGCCTCGACTCGGAAGAGACACAGTTTCCGATCGAGAGAGGCAATCAAAATCAAGCTGCTGGTCTCTTCATTATTAACCAACTTCACAAAAGGAGGATTATAGTATGTATGTTATGGTATGGTACGCCGCAAATGCTCATTTGTGAACCGATTATGATTATTTTTTGTTGGAAAGAGTTATTTGTGGTCCCATTTAAATTTGAAAATCCACCTCTAAGGGTTGCAAAATAGAGAATGAATTCGGTAACCGATTTCAATAAACCTTTTGAGGTTGGTTGTTTTAGTACTTTGTACTGAGATTATTCTCAACCTTTTTTTCCTTATCAGTTATTCCAATACCTAATATAAAACACAGAGCTTTATTATCTACAGGATTAAATCTAAGTCCTTGGTTTTGGCTTTGATTTCGTAGACATTATCTACGTGGCATCACTTATGTTTTTGCTCGTAAACATTCATTTACACTAATACCTTTTATCACCTATCTATACGGTAAACTAAAGGCGGTATGTAACAGAAGTATTGATTATTTTTATCGATAGCTCTTTAGCGTTATCGCGGGGCTTTCATGTTACTTGTTATATTGTTTATTTATAATTTAAGCTTTTGTTACAAGGTTCACAAAACTAACTGAAATAATATCAACATAATAAAGAATGACAGAACCTATAGAAGTATAAAGTTTATCAAATCATGTATTAATAATTTGTTACAAACTCATGATAACAAATATTTTATAGAATTGACTTTCGCTGGCACACAGTTTTTCAATTCAATGTTTAAAACATATTTAGGAATTTATTTTAATCACAATTCTCTAAAAAGGAATAGTCAACGTTTTTTAATCAAGATTGAATTTTATTCAAGTTTATTATAGGGATTAATTTTAATTTCGCGAACTTTTTACACCTAAAATCAAATTCATTCGTAGACATACAACCGCCACTCCTCTATTGTGTAGTATGTTACCTTTGTTCTTACCTACATTACTTACAATTAGTTTTTAATAGGGTCCAATATAATTAATGGCCGTATTCATAATATTACAATTAAGTACTGTTCTTAGTTCAGTATTGGGATAAAAAATATATCCTTATTTGCATCTGCAATGCACAAATTGATCAATTTGTTAAATTATACACCTATAGTATAATTCACGTAGTTATGTAAGTATGCAGTCTTATCGCAACTACAAACAAGTACCATGAAATTTAATTAGTTTATGACGCTGGACTACCCAGCTAAATAACCTTACAAATTAATTTTTTTCGTTACTGGAAATAATACTGGACTAGAATTACCGTAAGCGCACGCCGCATTATTGTTTTTATTAAAAATATTACTCACCGTGTCATGTTTATTTAAAACATACTTACTTTCTACTTTCACCGCTAAAAACGTTGTTTAGTACATAATTGCCCCTGGGACAAAGGGGGAAGCACCTATTACCCTAATTTGTGGCAGTCTTCACGATCATTCGTGATTGTGATGGCTATATGTTAGGTATTGCGGTTTCGCACAAAATCGCAGAAGCTTTTCAACCCTGTGTCCCTCACGACACTCGTTAAGATAAATCCCCTTTATTACGATACTAAATTACTACGCCTACAACTATACGGACTGAAGCCTTATTATGATAAAGATTAAAGCTCGCTCTCGACATTGTCGGTCTTAACTTCGAAAATAATCTAATTTACGCTTTCGTAACGTGAGATTGCCAGCTAGCCGACCGGACTGTGATGTGCCAAAAATAATATAAGTAACTAATGACGAAAAGAAACAATAACGAGAGCCATAAACCCTGAGGTAACATAAACAAATAAAAAATTATTTCTGACTGAGTACACAACATGCAATACTGAAGCATTTACAGCGACCTGTCGCCGACACAATACACACAAATAATATGTACAAATTATACTACTGCCACAAAATAATATTATGCATTATTACGTATATTATGTAATTAAATAAGGACACAACGGGGATTAATCGTATATAGAAATAAAAATAGAAAAATATACAATAAATTCTATTTAAACATGAAATTTATTAAAGATAAAAAACATACATTGTTTGTTTTACACAAAATAAAATACCTGGAGGGTAGGTAAGGCGAGCACGGGGGCACGCAACAAGCAGGCGGCCGCGCCCCCGCGCCCGCGGGCGGTACATAGTGCGACAGGCCATACATACTCCATATAATACCATACAATACGATAGACTGGTACACATATACGATACTGTTAAGCCAACTAAACTCACAGAAAGTCATGTCGCGCTCGCCGATATAAAACTATGTTAAATCTTACAAAAATACTTTAAGACTAATCTGAAATGCACATAGAGGATCTCGCGTCTCGACTACAAAAATATTCTGAGATTGGAATGAAAATCTTTCTTTTTAAGCTTTCGGCCCGAAATCACAATGAAACGGCGTCTACAACGTCCGTTAACATACTAATTGCTTCTCTTTTGAGTCTTAAAACTAACCGATAGAACCTGTCCATTGAGCGTGTACCCATTGAGCGCTTGAATGGCCATTGCAGCCTCATCATAATCACGCATATTCACAAAAGCAAAACCTTTATTTTTCTTTGTCTCAGGATCTTTAATCACTTTAATGGAGTCAATTGCACCATACGGACCAAAGAGTTGCCACAGTGCCAGCTCCTCAGTGTCCTCCCCGATGTTGTATACATACACGGTTGTTTGGTGGGGCGCGGATGGCGCGCCCAACAGCGGCAATGGGCTGGCGGGCGCGCCCAGCAGCGGCAGCGGCGTGTGGTTGGTAGCTGCCATGGGATTGAAGCGCTGCGTACCCTTGTTGATGAAGGGCAGCGCCTTACCCGGCGAGGGCAGTAACGGCGGTGGCGAAGCCTGTGGAAATCCTGGTGCGAAAGCAGCTGGTCGCGCGCCGAACGCCGCGCTGATGTTGGTGCCGTTGAAAGCTGTGGGCGTATTGCCGTTGAAAACGGCGGCGGCAGCGCCGTTGTACGCGGCCAGCGGAGTAGCGGCTACGCCAACCCGGGTCGTTGGTCGAGGCGGAATCTTGTTCGAGTTAGGCTTGTTAGCGAATTTCACGACGATGGCGCCCGCACCTGTAATCGGCGAGGCACCGTTCATGTGTTTGATGGCCTCCTCGGCTTGCTGCCGCGTCTCGAAGCACACAAAGCCGATTCCCTGTGACACGCGACTGTTGGTGATGGATCCAAACTGGCCGAACAGCACATTGAGTCTCTCGAGCGTCATGTCCGGCGGCAGGTTGCTGATGTACAGGTTGGACTCTGTGTCGGGTTTGTGGCTGACCTTGTTCTCAGGGTTAAGCAACGCGAACGACACTTTGAGCGTCTTGCCCTGCATGAGCAGGCCGTTGAATGCGGCTCGCGCCTTCTCCGCGTCTTCGTGCTTCTCATATTCAACGAAGCCGTAACCTCTGTTGGCAATCAGCTTACAGCTCTCAATCTTGCCCATCGCGGAGAACAGCGCGTACATCATATCGCGCGTCATCAGTTCGGGGATGTAGTTGACCATGAGTTTGGTGGGTGACACATTGGAATTGGCGTCGCCGCCGCCATTCTCCTTCATTTCGTTTATCATTGTTCTCTTATTGAAAAAACTACACTACGGAAAACAAAATACTAATAAAACTCACACTCTGCGTTGATTATCTCATTTGCGACATGGAAAATGAACAAAGAATGAACACAAAAAGTCCCAGTCACACGAAACGCCAGCAACGCCGGTTCACAAGTTCATGTTGTTTTTGGAGAAATGTTACCAGATTTGCACTACTTCTTCAAGAATAGCAACTTTATGTAAAAATTATGTATTGAACTCCTTCAAACAGCGTTTCACTGGTTATTTCTCTCAAAAATTTCAATTAATTCTTCACTTCCATGAATTAATTATTTTCTTTCATTTGTTCGCCCGCGTGGCATATTTTATTTTTTGATAAAAAAATGTCTATGGAAATTAAAAAAAACGATCAGACAGGGCGCGTTTCATTGGAATAATGCTAATTTTTTTTATTGTGTGGCGATTGGTAAAAAATATTACCATTCATTCACAGGTAATGAATGAATGAAAAATGCTGGCAAATGTCAATGTCAAGATCCTTGTTTAGTATTTTTCGGTTTGATTGTTGAGGCGAAATTGGGAATTATTGTGTATTTTCCACAAAATTTTATTCGTCCTGTGATTGGATAAAATAAACATGTTCCTGACTAATGTTTTATTGAAAAAGGCAAAAAGCAAGTAAGTTATAAGTACAGCTTTTAATTGAAATATCGGTCATGTTTTATTTCTATACATTACTATAATACCATTGTTTCAGATTGATAATGGTCTTGATGGAGAGTGCAGTATCTGGACACAAATTCAACACGATCAGGGAGCGTCTTGCTGATAAATTAGAGCTGATACGATTTGATCCATATAGTGAGTTGCACACCTAACCTACAAATATATTTACATTCTATTGAAACAGCGAAGAACTATAGTTTTTTCTTCTTTTCATGATCTTTATTGCTGGATATCCGCCTTGACAGTGATCGCATGAAATCATTATGGCGCGCCGCCCATTTCTGTGGCGTTTTTTTAAATTTTTGCAGTTGATTCAGAGACTGATGGAGAAATTCATTACAATATCATAAATGAACAGTTACAACTAGTACTGTAAACTTTGTAATAGGCACTGTATGCAAATGAACTAATTTCAAGACAGAAGAATTTCTTCAATATTTAGTAGTTTTGCAAATGAAAATTGCAAACCTTTTAACACTTTGTAGGATTCTTACATTGCCTGCAAAATATTTTAGAGCAAGTACTATAATGCAACTTGATAATATATAATTTGTAAAAAAAATATTGAAAATCTTTTGGAAATGTTCTAGTAAATATCACCGTTATTTTGAATAGCTGTACACATAAATTACTTAGTGCATTTCTGTACTTATGAAAAGGAAATCAAACTATAGTGTAGTATAATCCTGTCAGTATTGTGCTAATATTATAAAAAAATTAAAGTGGTGGCCACACTTTTATTTCAATGTGCAATGTAGTGGCACTAGCGGCAATGCCAAAAGCCAGTAAAAAGATCTATGACAAAAACACATAGGAGAATTTTGACAGCTTGCTTGTTGTGGCTCAGCTGGTAAGAATAATGCTATGTTGCAGCGTGGTCGTGAGAAGTCCCACAGGGTAGAAGAAATTTTTCTGTGTTCGATCTTTGTACTAATAATCATAACGAAACTTGTGGAGTTATTACACAAAAAGAATCTCAATAACACATAAAATACATAGGTATATTAATTATTAACCTTTGGGTTTAGCCATGGCCACCACTTTGGAAAATATCCACATATAAAAAAATTATTCATGTGGCCGACAGAAGCAGACGTGATTTCGTGATAAAAAAATGTATAGTCTGCATTTTTGGATTAACTTTAACATTTTCAATTTACAGTACAAAAGGAGAGCATATACAGGGAGAGGAAAAAGATCAGGAGCATAAAATCAAATTAAATTCACCAAAACGTTTTATTAAGTGTAAATAGTAATAATAATATTCGAATGTTACAATACATAGTAGTTACTGTACTTTAAACAATAAAGAATCTTTAAATATATTTTTGTTTCACTGTCTTAATTTAACATAAAATAACCATACATAAGGAATATTTCTAAGAGGTATAAGGGGTGACTATGTCTGCCGTCGAATTAAAAAGGCTGCTAAGTGATATTCGAAAGTCCAAAGAGAATGAAAGAAATTTGACAAATTAATAGAAAATGGGCTAGTGTATTAACCTACAAATAATATAAGAAAATATTCCATCTCTAACCGCCCAAACACACGAGGAGAAAGTTTTCGCGCGGTCGGAGAGCGGACTCCGCTCGGCGACCGCGTAGACAAAAGATAAGCTAGTGCCTTCCAGCTAAAAGGTATGACAGTATGGTCTCTGAACACGTACACGCGGTCGCTGGGCGGCGGCCGCCGCAGACTCCGCTGAGCGCGATGAAATTCATGTCGTATAAACGCGCCCTAAGGGTGGCAAATAAATAGATGAATCTGGTCTATTGGACTTCACCCACTTTCCATTAACCGATTTCAATAATCATTTGATTAATTTATGGATTTAAAAAACCAACATCAAAGTTTGTGGAATTACGTCGAGATTTATTGAAATGGAAAGTGGATGAAATACAATAAACTGGATTCATGCATTAATTTGCCACCCTTAGAGATGGAATATTTTTTTTAAATTTGAATAGGACCACTACTGAGGTACCCCCTTTCCAACAAAAAAGAATCATCAATATCGGTTCACAAATGTTGGAGTAATTGAGAACCTCCTCCTTTTGAAGTTGGTTAAAAAGAAAATATAAATTGCGAGAAATATTCTTAAAGTTACTTTAATATAAAAGAAGTTAAATACTTTTACATTACACATTTTGTAAATTATATGGATATTTGAACGTGAAAACATAGTTTTAGCAAATATTGCCGTTATAACACTGAAATACATTGTAAAATTCAAAATACCTACGCAATGTGCCAATATATCGTCATGTGCCGTATTAAGATTAACGTGTTTATGTGCTAAAGTAAAACAAACAAATGTAATCACCACACATTACCTTTATAATAATTTGAAAATTTGTATAATTTATAATCATATCCATATGATTTATATAAAAATTTCAAAGAGCTTTATTTACACATAGATACTGTAGGCCAAATCGTTATAACATTATTCACATATCACAATTCCAAAACATTCAGTAGGTATTTTTTTGTTAACAAAGAAATTTTAATGTGTTATAAAAACACTTTAAAATATTGGGAACTCTTAATTCTACTCTCACTATAGTGTAGCTCTAATAGCTAGCCATGAAATGACATTTTTCAATTAGAATATGTCCCATTACAATTACGTTTAGTAATTTATAATAACAGACTATAGAATTTTTTTAATTTTAATTCCGAAGAGAAATGGTCTACACGTATGTTAGTTATTGCCGCGTAAATATACAATAGATGCTTATAAATAAGTAGATAAAAGACACAATTTGGTTGATTTAATCAGACAAATTAACTGTAAGTTAATAATAAATATTTGACTAACAACAAATTTCAAAATTCTTACTCTACATTTAAAGCAAAATTATCAGAGTTTCTTTGAAAAATAATACCGTAGGGTATTTTACATTTACCCTTTAAGTTATAAAAAGAAGTAACAGTGGTAGGTACCTTTAAACTTTCAAAGAAACGTAACTACTTTTTCTTTCATTAGTCTATGGTTAAAATTGACTAGAATTGAATGTAGAAGTACATAATGTTCTTATACAATATATAAACTATTCATAATAAGTTAAAAACTACTTAATGTATAGAAAAAACTTTTTTGAAATTACATTATTGTATCAAAGTAGATTCTAGGGTGTGTCGAGGAATTCTCCAAATATGAAGATTAACGATTTTAATTAGGTATTTAATTTTAACATTAAAAGCTAAAAGATAGCAGTCATGTAATGGTCTATTCAGACATTTGTAGAGTTGAATTTAAATACAAGACAACAGATGTAATTTATGTATTCATAGGTATTATATGTAATATATGAATGTAAAAATCTTTGGAAGTTAGAGCCAATTTTTATGTACATTTTTTTACAATTCCAAGATTTTATATAGAAAAGGCAGATGTACCACTACATGATCATACTACACTCATGTACATATTTAACCGGTACTACGGACAAAGCTGATAATGATTGTCGCACGCTTCAAATGTATTTTTTACCAACGTATGTTTATTTAGCTTTATATTTTTCACGAACTAGAAACATTCTTAACGGCCCATCGCCATTGCAAAAGTATATTAAGATTGTTAACAATGTGAACCTAAATTATTCACCTCTCTGTCGTAAGGAAATAAGATACAAATACTCCTTATTACACACAGGAACAAATACAAATACAAAGACAGTAACAACTTGGTTCAACATACGGCCTTGTTGTTATAGTTACATAGCAATATTATACAATTTTTTTTTAAATATCGCTAGACAAGAAATAAATCAAATTAGCAAAATACGTTGTCGTAACGCGCATTGTCTTAAATAATCATCGAAATTGCGTAGTTAGTTACCCAGGCTTTGCTGTTAAAATGTTATAAACAGGAAAGAATAACTATGAACCGTCTCAAACTGGTTTGGTTTGAAATAAACTTCCGTTACTTTTATGTGAATATCAGAAACTATTAAATAGCGTCTTTCACCATTAAATAGTTGATGTTAAGCCATTGAATATACAGTAGAAGTAGAATTTTGCGTTTGATCAGGAAAATATTAAAATGGAAGTAAAAAAGGAATGAACGAAAAATAATTGAATGAATGGAATGAAAGTAGATGTCATAGAATTAAATCCTTTAGCACATCACACATAGGAAGTATAATTATAGTACTTACTAATTTTACGTCAATTGCTTATGTTATTTAGAAGCTAATAAAAAAATTAAAAGTTAATTCTAATTTTATTCTAATATTTAAATCTATTATTTCTGATATTTTGTTCCCTTACCAACAATTATTATATATTTTATTAACTATTATTTCGTAATATATGGTGCCAATTAAAACCTTACCATTATTTTAAATATGAATAATTATTTTTTACATAGTTTCTAGGATATGAAAATTTGTATGAAATTGAAATCCTAGCTACTGATTAAAACGTAATAATCATTTTCATATGATACATTTCTATATACTATTGTGTTTGAAAATAAAGAGATAAAATTCAAGAAATTTATAATAATATGTAGCTTCCTTTGATCAATATCGCAGATAGCTGCAGCTCAAAGGCAGGATCTCATTTTAACACCCTAGGCGCATGCACACGCGTGTCACGACCACTAATTAAGACGCGATGCCAGGAAGGTATGATCACACAGAATAAAATCACTGGTACATTTTGCAGGACACCTGTAAAAACCCGAAAATAACCATGTATTTTATTTTTTCAAAAGACTGGCTGGTTATTTTTGATTTAGGTCTAATTTTGAAATAAAAAGTTTAGTGGATTATTTTTTTTCTCATTCATTTTGTTGTAACTTCCACCTAAAAGGGGGCCACTCCGCAGGGTAATACAAGATTATGAATGTAGTCGCAGCGTGGAAACCGTCCTGCAATGCGTTCTGCGAGACTCCATACGTGGGCCATACGCAGGATAGTGTGTGAGCAGTCTCCTGCCAGCGCGGCGGACTGCCATGCAGGTAGTGAATGGGCCGTTTTACGCAAGTTTTTGTTCTTGTAAATTTTGTAAACATTAGTGGAAAAAGTTTTTATATTTTAATAAAATTTTATTTTTATTTCATTTCAAATAAAGATTTTATTTCAACAAAAGTCAGCACTGAAAGTTCGCACATAAGTTCCGAGACACTCTAAGGTGCGGGCCCGGATTCGAACCCACAACCTGCGCTTGAGAGGCGGTAGGTTAATTAGGCTAGAATTGCTATATCTAATTTAAATTTATACGTTTACTACTATACATTCTCACTTTTTCCGCCTTTAAACAATTTTTATTACAGTTGAATAAGTTCTGATTTTGCGTCTAAACTAGCGATTATGATACACGCGACTATCTCCGATACGCAAAGAATCATAACAATAAAAAAACTGTAACGTAACGTATTTCGCGGTATTTCTGTTTACTTTTATTTTACGACGAAATTTTACTCTATTTAGAATCCAGAATTAATATAATATATTATACTTAAATTCTCACTGATATACACAAGTTATTGTTATGAAGAATGTTTTGCTAACTTACTTACTACCCAAGTTACTTGTTTACCCGTAAAGAGAACTGGTTGCTTAGTTAAGTAATTTATTTATAACAACGAAGTTGCATTGGAATGCCAACCAATGTCAGAAACACGTGTTGTAGTATTATTTTTATTCTACGCAGCATTTCTAAAACTATAACCCACGGCGTTGAAAGTCGAAAAAACCTAATACAAAATCTATAACACACACGTAGAAGAATTTCGTCGAGCTGTAGGACTAGCACGGGCACGACTTGCGCAAGAGCGACATGAAGCGCGAGATGCTGCTATTCTTGCTTTGATTGATTGCTTGTAGTGCTCGCCCTACGGCTGACTCGACCTGTAGCTCAGGTGGCAGAGCGATGTTACGATACAGCGTAGTCGGAGGTTCAAGACCTGTCTGGTCGAAAGGATTTTCCCGTATTCGATCTTTGTATTAAGTAATAATTACTACAACGCACAGTTCAGAAATTTATTATCTATTTTTAAATATATTATTTTTCAAAAGGCCGAGAAAAAGTTTCGTTTATTTTTTTTCAATCTTGAATTGCCGTTTTCGTTTTTTTGGAATTAACTTTAGTGTGTTTCAAGAAAAGGTGCATATAAATTCAAATATAATAAAAAATCACAACAGTCTCTGTTAAGTTGGCAACATGGTTTTAATATTTTTACCTTTCGTCTTTGTTGACGATTCTTTGAATAAACATTTTTATTCGATAGATTGTATTTTTAGTGCAAAAACCGGAACACAATTTCGTAATATTTCATATTAATATTAATTGTCCATTTTTCTGCTTACAGTTAAATAATTACTGAACTAAGTTTTTTAAAACTACATTTAGAATACTTACGTGAGGTTTCCTTTTAACGTAACAATTGTTTTAAGTTGAATTGTCAACTCTCTGCAGCTCTGTGCAGTCAATTCATAGATGTAGCGTTGTTTTAGCAGTTGTAAATTCTCATAGTTTAAACTAATTGACAGGTAAGATTTTTTCCTACAGTGCCGTTCCTCATACTTAGTTATAGAGAGTAGAAAAGGTGGAGATAATTTTTAAACTGTCAATTTAGATTAAGAGTTAGATCGAATATACATCTTAACTTTAAAAAAACTACAGCCTTACCCCGTAAGGGCTAAAGTACATTCGGCATCTTGGCCCAGCAACCATTATTCCTTTCTCTCGTCACCAGAGATCAAATAGATAAAGTATATAATGTAGAGTGGATATCACCTTCCTCTAAACTATCGAAATTATTATATTTTCTTCTACATTATCCACGGTTTTGTATTTAGAAGAAAAAATTGTAATTGTTAGTAAAAATATAACTATTTTGTTTAGATTTTTTTTGCCTTTAATTTTTAATCATTCATGTGTATTAAATTAAATTTCTACATTGCCTATTCCGATATGATCATAACACGTCGTACAATGTGTGAAAGAGACAAGAACAGCGATCGTTGATACGATTATTAAAATCTAGACAACACTTTTTTGAAAGACCTATCAGCTGTTGTATTTCATTTCATTATTATATCAATTAGTGGCAATGATTGATGGATTAATAGACAATTTTTTAGGTGTCATATTAATCAACTGTATCAATTGACACACTGCTGCACTGTCGGCAACGGGTATTTAAAGACCAACAAGTTCGATGGCAAATAATTAAGAGCGGTTGCAAACGCGATGCAGTAACTAACATCTACCTTTACACACACGCGCGTCTTCAAGCAGCGATGGAAACGCGCGACTGCAGCGATACAAATGCGCGAATGTAGCGATGCAATAACGCATTTCACGAACGCGCGTTTAATCGCCGCCGCCGTGTGTAACCATTCTTGAGTCCGTAAGGTAAACCGAGTAAGGCAAAAACACACGGGTGGCATTTATTTTGTTCGCCCAATTCAGTGTTGCTAATTACACCACTATTTCTACTAATTAGTAAATCTGTAAACTTTGATATAACACCATGTAACATGATTTTCGTTTATGGGTTATCAATATAATTTTTTTATAGGTTCTAACATAAAAACATGAAAAAGTACAAATTTTCGGGTTTCCCTTTATTTAAAAACAAAAAGGGAACATAATATTTAAAATCTATAGTCTACTGTAATTAATCGCATTTGCACCAATTTGATGACAAAGAAAATATCACTATGTAACTATTTAAATAGGCAGCTATGTAATACCACTGTGACAGCCACAAATGACAAAGTTTCAGGGGTATAGATATTATTTTCTACGTACTTGCTGCTCCATTACACAGGAATCAATACTGACAAACCAGAAACAGAATCTTTTTAAAAATTTGTTACTTTAGTAGAAAACTGGTTTAAACGGCTACACTGTCAAAAGTTTGACAGACAATTGGTAGAAATAGTTTAAATGTCAACACTGAGCGTAGACAGAATATTAATGACATTGGTCTGTTTTTCGGCTAACTTGGTTATCCTGCAGAGCTTTCTACTTAACTGGTTATGTGCTTCGCATTAGCTTACCCGTTGCCAAATAAAAAGGTATGTCATTTAGTCCATTCATTTTAAAAATGCAGTAGGAAATTTTTAAACCACCAATCACTTTGCTTAAACGACAAAGAAACACTGACCAATCACAGGGCGTTCGAGTAGTCTGGCCAATCACAAATATGATGAGTGCTGCACTGATTGGTTATCTATATTTACGTGTGATGAGATCAGTCAGCCGAAGAGTCCGGCTGCGGCGCCAGCTGACGAATAAGCGGCGCGATGTCCGGATACTCTCAGGCAAAGAATTCCATCTTACTCGCCATCTCGTACTCGGATTCCTCCATTTTGTACATCTCGATCAGCTGTTGGCACACGTAAATTAGGCATAAGTACAACACGTAGCATCTGCTTAAAGGTAAACCACATAAGTGACATTTTCCACTAAACGCCACAAAATTTTATAGCTAGAGCACAGATAAAATAATACTATACTAGTATAGATACTCAATCTCATACAAAGAAATGTGGCACTCGTAACTCCGATTATTGTTTTTCAATAGATGGTAAACCAACCCAAGTAAACCGATGCGATTATAACAATATTCGAAAAGGGCAAAAGATGGCAGCTATTACATTTTTGTCAATGACGTTAACGAAGCAAAACATCGTGATGTCGAGGTAGGTTCGCAATCCTTTGAAAACATGGAGCAGCAATTTGAATAAATAAATAGATTTTTCTTTTGTTAAGAAAGTAATCGTAGAATTTCTTACATTGTCAATGTCCTTCGAAAGCTCTTCCATCTGCTTGTCATGGCTTACTTTCAACTTTTCTTTCTCGCGGTTCTGCTTGATGGTTTGAGTCTATAAAGTGAAAAATAGCAACATTTTGCGACGTGTTCATCATCAAAATGTACAACGTTTAAAACGCGATTGTTATATTTATTTTCACCTCACTAGCTCGGAAAGGCTTTCTTTCTCATTTTTCCACACTAGCGTGGAAAAGGTTTTTGACGATGAACCGTGGGTGCACCTACTTTTTCTATCGATGAAAAAAAACATAATGACACGTTCAACTACGCGATTTGTCGTACATTATTTATGTAATATAAATCCGTTGATAAATTTTATTCTCATTATTGTTGATATTAAATTAACTAATTTTGTTTATTAAATCTGATATCTTATAGTGTTTTTCTTTCATCTACCATTTTCTTCGCTATAATGAGGTGAAAAGTTGTGTTTTTCGCTCGGCAGCAAAGTTGTTTTGCGTCTCGTGGCTTGAACTCCTCGCTACGCTCAGGATATTTGAACCACTCGCTTCAATCTTCAATTTTAGTTTGACGCGAGTGCTTGTATTGACAACAACTTTGCAGCCTTGCATAACAAATAACTATTATAAATCTGCTCAGTAAGTGGAATAACTAAATGGCTGTAGCGAGTACGATCTCGAAAATATAGTTAGGTAGGCGCCGTCTGATGCCCCCGAACCAAATCGATGCAAAACGATATTGGAAGTGAGATTTTTAATTAGCACCAGAACCTGGAAAACAATAGAGTTGTCCCCAACCTCTAGTAAGGCATAGTAAAAGGACAAATCAGCAAAATTTTTACAATGCATACGTTGCTGACAAATCCCTTTTCTGCTCAATGCATACCTTCCGTTCGTCCATGAACTTTTTAGTGTTGTTCTGCTTCTTCTCCCTAAGCCGCCGGTCTTTCTCCTGCTTGGTCTTCAAGGTCTTGTCGTTAGCGACTTCCTTGCTCGTCTCCATGCTTATCTTGGCTTGGCGCGCGTTCATTTCTTTCAATTCCCTTTAAGGATAAATTATACAAGTTAAGTATCTTTTAAAATGGCATATTTCTGAAAAAAAGTGCTTTATGCCTTTTAATGACAAGAGAACATTCTATTGTCATTAAAAAGTGATGGAAACCCGTAATCCAATGCTCGTTACGCGCAATTACAGTATTCCCGACGATGTGGGTCATATCAATTTGTGAACTGGCAATCGGTACTATTTCAATTTTGACGTCATTTATATAGCATCTGATTTAACGTAGTTTTTAAATATTTTTTGACACTACGTATTTTTATTTAAGAGGGAGCAGAGGAAAAATTCCTAATAATCGATTTGATTTTAGAGGGGTATATTCACTTTAAAGTTAATAATAAAATATTGTATGAGTAACTACACGATATATTCAAGCATAGACACTAATCAGAAACATAAAACAATAAAGTTTCCTCGATAGATAAAAATGACGAAATGACCTCTAATTTTCACATTTTTTCGATTCATCCTCGAAATGCTACAGGTTATTAGGACAAAAATTAGATTATTAATTATATTTATGCATGATCGAGAACTGGCACTACGGATTTTTTTATAATCCCTTTAGTTTTAGAGTTATTCCGCTAAATCGAATTTGGTAGTTTTAATGCGCAAAATTCAACATCTCCTGTCGCATGTCACGCGAACTTCAGGCATATATTTGTTTCACAAATTTGGGCGGAGCCAACGTCAAAACTTTTATGGCATGCTCCCTCTTAATAAACCAGATGCTATATAAATGACGCAAACAATTTTTTTCTTCATCGTGTAAACTTGTCAAAATTGACATAGTACAAGTTGCCAGTTCACAGTCGATATGGCCTGAAATAAATGCCTAAATACATTAACTTACAATTACATGGACGTCGGGTCCGCGCTAAAAAGTGTCCGAACTTATAGGGCGTTAAAATCGTATACAGAGCGTCATTCACGCTTTAGTCTTCGTTTGTTCGACTGACAGCGAAGGAAAAAATTAGACAGTACTGCGATGACATTACAATTTAAATTCAACGATTTAGCTTTTTTATATGCCTTTACATGTCACTACGTTTAAATAGGTTGACTTGGAACATTTTTTTCGTGGTTTTTGTATTAGACCCGTCGTCTATTTATTTGTAAGTCAATGACTAAATAAGTAAAAAAAAAAGTGGTTACACGGTGACTTATAGCAGCGATGCAAACGCGATACAGTAGCGACACAGTCGTTAATCGTCTACTTTTACACACGCGCGCGATTTTAAGCAGTGATGCAAACGCGATGCATACGCGACTGCATGGTCACCTATCACAAACTCGAATTTAGTTTTTCCGAAATAACGTTTGTTCGAATGTTCATTACTCCGAAAACCGCATTATAACGAAACCGTTGTTCTTTCAGGATATGTTGATTGTTTATTGCAAAGACACGATTATGTTCGGTCAAGTTAGGTTTAAAAAACTTCGCGGAAGGAGGAAACAGCGAGAGGAACACCCTTCCTCTCATCCTATGCGCCCGCAAACGTTAAGGGCGCAGGCGGCTGGCCTATGCCCGCTAACTGCCGCCCTGACAGTGAACCCTGAATGGCAAAACGGGGGCTTTGCACTGGATAAGGGCTCACGGGTTGGTTGGCGTGCCAAGTATTCCACTAACGAGGGAGTGGGGACGGTAAAGTCTCCCAGAGGTGGGTCCGCAGTCCCGGACAACCGCAACCGGGGCCGTAGATCGTTAATCACGTCGCCCCGTTCAAAAAAAAAGTTTAATAGAAAAAACATTTTCCTCTCAAAATTACTTTCGAAGTTATGAAAATTCGAGTAAGCATTGTTTTTGGGGGCTTACCATAACCTTTCAAAAAACAATGTTATTTCAATATAAGCTTAATATAATATCACTCATATTCGTACCATGACAAACCTGTCAACCAAGTAATGTATTATTGCTAAAGGGACTGAAAGAACGAATGATTTCCCAATATTGTCTATTCTTGACTAAAAATAGGAAAGAAACAACGCTATGTGAACTGCATAATGCCATCTCTTTCTTTGTTGATGTTCCTAATCGTCCTATCGTAGTATAATGTTAAAGTACTTAATATTATTTACATTTAGAGAATTTTAACTGCCAAAAAAAGAAAAGTATGTAATAATGAAATCTATTGAAATTACGTTGTTTTCAATTATTTTTCCGCATTTTCATGAAGAAAAATAAATAAAACAAGCTGAGTCTTGGTTGTCAAGTTGTGAATTCGAAACTATAGTCTAGTGTCGACTGTTAGTTTCGCCAAGGAGCATATAGATGGCGTTGTCATAATTTTACGAAATAATAAATATAATATAAATAAATATAGAAGAGATATATGTAAATAAATAAGTTCAACTTAACTTTTAATCATTACAAACCAATATTAAGACAATAAAACTGAAAATAATATTGTTTCCACTGCAGCCGTGTAACCATTATAAAATTACTAAATTTGACATAAGAGCAATATTACTTTAATGTTACAGTCGCGTTGTAGTACGAACTGAGTGAATGAATAGTCACAAGGCTGCCAATAAAACATCGTCATGGTACGAATAGTCAATGCAAGGTTGAAGTAATACGGTTTAAGAGGTTGCGGTAGGCCAGGTCATCCGGACCGCCGAAGCCGCATCGCTACACTCGAGCGAAAGGCGCTTGCGCCGCTGCTGAAGCGGCCGCGAGCCGTACCGCTCGTGCTTGCCCTCGAGCTGCTTGAGCTGCGCGGCCTGCGCCTGCTCCATGAGCCGCTTGAGCAGGTCGCGCTGCTCGTTGAGGCGTGCGCGTGCGCCGCCCCACTCCTCGGCGCGGTGGCGCGCCACCAGCTCCGACCACGCCGCCGACTGCTCGCCCACCAGCGCGCGGAAGGCCGCGTCGGCGCCCAGCTGCTCCTTGCTGCGGCGGGACGTCACACGTATTACCGGCCTCCGCGGCCGACGCAGAGGGCACATTTGTGTCTCTCGCGGGTTCGGGCGTAATTTGTGGTTGTCCATGTCGATTGTGAACTGGCAACCGGTACTACAATTTTGACAACTTAACAGGTTGAAGAAAGGAATTGAATAAAAATACGTAGTTGTGTACAGTACGTATTTCTATTGAATAAACCAGACGCTATGTAAGTTATTTTTTTCTTGTCAAAATTGTGATAGTACAGGTTGCCAGTTCACAGTCGATATGTGTATCCATTGCACCCGCGATACGGGGTTATATACGGCTATATTGAGTGTGTGCGTTATTATTATAGCTAAAAAGTCGTTGAACAACCAAATACAAAGATACGACGCAAGCACACAGTAATATAAATATTCGTGAGGTCCGCTGGTTCGTTCCGTGGCTTAGTTGGTATAGCGACCGCTCCGATCCGGCCGGATCGAAGAATTTTTTTCTGCGTGTTCGACCTTTGTATTAATAATTATAACAAACTAGTGGAGTAATTTCACATAAAAATAATTGGATATCAATTTAATACAAATTTTAATTGTTATTATTATATCAGCCAGAAGACGTCCACTGCTGAACATAGGCCTCAAAGATTTCCATACTAGTCGATCGGACGCGGCGTGCATTCATCGTTTACCCGCCGCCCTTACCAGGTCATCCGTCCGTCTAGTAAGGGGCCACCATTCGAGAACCTTTCTGCCCCAACGGTCATCAATTCTATGAGTTATATGTCCAGCTAGAATCCATTTTGTTATTAAAAATCGCACCCATAGCCACATAATACATAATAACATAGCCACATGTAACAATAAATTAAAAGTGATTTTATTAACCAACTTCAAAAAAGGAGGAGGTTCTAGATTCGACTGTATTTTTTTGTGTGTTCTATTTAAATTTGAAAAAATATTCCACCTTTGAATGTGGCAAACTAGAGAATAGATCCGGTTTCGCGCACTTTCCGTTAACCGATTTCAATAAAACTTGGCAAATAGATGTAATACCACGAACTTTTGAGGTCCTCTTTTTATAAAGAACGCGCAACCGAATTGGTACCCCAGTTTGCCACCATTTTATTCAAATTTAAATGCAACCGATATTAAGGTTAAGTTCCAGTATAAAAGACTCATGATAATCGGTTCACAAATAGAGTTATCATTTGCAATGTTGCATGTAAATGCTCATGCTTTGTTAGCAATTGAGAACCGCCTCCTTTTTTTTGAAGTCGATTAAAAATAAATATTACTGACTGCCTTATTAAAACCACTTGTTATATTACCCATATGATACATTATAGATACACACACATATGATATTATTAATAAAAAAAAACAAGTTACATCTAATTTATTTAATTAAAATAAACGTATATCTTTAATGTTTGTATGCCTATTGTTTGGCAGAACAAAGAGATTCAAGAAGAAGATATCTTTCATTCATTCATGAATTATGAACAATCTAAGAACCATTTGACCCATTGATCTCTTCATTGAGATGCAACGAATTCTCTCACTGGGTTACCGCCACTCACATACTGTGCTTCTATAAATTAACATAATCAAAACTTACTTCTTTCCCTTAATCATTTTCTCAAGCGTAGAGCACTGCTGTTTTTGCAACGCCATCTTCTCCTTCGAATGACGCTTGCGCATAGTCTCCAAGTCCTTCTGGTGCTTACGACCGGTCTTCACGAAACCCTTCTCTTGACGAAGAGTCTCCACGGTGATAGGTTCGAAGACGAGAGGTTCTGGAATGTTAATTATTAATTGTAAACTTTAACCATATTAGGATGGCTATGCGATTTTAAATAACTTGTTACCTTTTACTTTAAAAGTGATAAACTAAATAACTTTATTTGCATTGAATAGGTTTTTTTATGATACCAAAGTGACACGCCTGTCCCTAGAAGTTGCAGTGTCACTCAGAGCTTTAAATCACAATGATCTGAGGGGCACTGTCACTGCGACTGTCATCCTAAGACATAAGTTGACAAGTCCCTTGTGCCTGTGCGCAGTAATGTAAAGTAAAACGCAGTAGTAATGCACACATTACTGCTTGGCGGCAGAAATAGATAAGGTGACAGTACTTCCCTGGACGAACTCTTTCACAAGGAGCTCTACTGCTACTAAGCAAGTTTTACAAGATGTTAATCATTCGATTAAAAATATAAGCGTGCAAAATCTTTGTACTCAATATTCATTTACACTGTATTGATGTTCATAATTAGCCGTTTATACAATTCAGTTCTTTTTCTTAATTGTGAGTTTTTTGTTTCTTGCGCCACTCGGAAAAAGCGTTATGTCTATGCAATAAGAGCTAAAAACAAGTTGCGCGCTTCGCTTCCACTCGGACCAACGCGAATCGCACCACGTCTTTTTCACTCTATTATCGCGTGTATGCGTGCGTGTATGCGAACACGGTCCCGTATATACCTAAAATATACTACGTTCTGTCGCTGCGTCATTGTTTTCGGAGACGTTGTTCTCAGAACATCACCTCTGGATGTGTCAATCATGAATAAGCTAGTTAGTTTTTGTAAGTAATTTAGTCACAATTATATCGTACCTGTAGGTGATTGTTGACGCTTGAACATGGTTGTGTGCTAAACGAATAAATGGTACTGTTTCTCGTAACTTGTGGCGTTAATAAAGCTATATGGAAATATTTCTTTCTGTGCGGTCTAAGTAACAAGATTTTAAACCGAAAAATCTTTGCAACTTGTGTGTCGTGGTTGAGATTTAAATAACTCTGAATATCTTCGGAAACCTGGCATACCCTACCGTAATAATAATAACTACTTATTACTGTGCACAATGTACAATAGGGCGTTCAATTCTTCACTAGAAACGAGACTTACGTAATAAAGCCCTCCTAGCGTCACATCGGCCCGCAAATGCAGCCGCTTCATTACTTTATTATGACAGCAAAATAAAAAAAACCCGCTCTGCAGGTGTCGACGAACTAATTCCAGACACTTTTAGGTTACAACTATATGTTGCTTAGTATTTTATGGCCCATTCACACGGGGCCAATTGACGAACCATTCCACAAAGCCAGGCCAGTCTAGTGAAAAGGGCGAAATTCGCAACGCCACACTACAGCCAGTGTTACAATAAGTTTCATTAAGATTCTTTACTAAACGGCTAGGCAAAGTAGTGGAGTGGTTCAGAAAGCACTTTCATACAAGGCCATTACATGAGCCAATTCAATGCACGTGTGGTGGGGGAAGGTATTGGCCAGAAAAATAAGAATTGGTACAAATTTAGTGGATTGTCTTTATCACTTGTTTCGAAACACTCCTTAGTTGATTGTCTCCATTTATACGACGCCAGTAAGTGGCTTGGCTTAATGGAGTGATTCGTCGATTGGCCCCGTGTAGACGGTCCTTTAAGCATTATAGAAAGGAAGAGAGGCAGAGGAAAACCGAGACGTAATTATTTAGATTCGATAAGAGAAAAAAATGTCATCCCGTAACAGGAACTCTATGGCGCTGAACAAAGTTCGTTGGTGGTTATCCCACCCACTACAAGAGCCTAAGGTCTTTCACATATTACATAACGTAATCGCCGGAGGTTAAAAATTCAAAGCCATCGTGTGGTATGCAAGTAAACTCCCCCAAAAGCTACAGATATGTCTGTTTGTATAATACTGCCGCGGTATAATAACTTTTATTCGACTTTAAATTACCGCTTAGTAGGCTTAACTTTAAAAGTATTATTTTCTGAAACCAAAAGTAATAGAAAAACAAAAGAAAATTAAAACCAAATAGAAAAAAATTTCGTCATTTCAACAATCTCCGTCCTCACATCGTAAAAACTGCTCTTTGTGCTTATCACGCATATGTAGCCTCTAGTTTTGCGATATGGACTACTGCTCTGGGGAAACGCTGCTGCTACACATATTTTGCCTCTATTTAAGAAATGTGTCAGGGCCATGTTTGCTGTGGATCAGCGCGAGAGTTGCGTAGCTTATTTTAAAAAACTGAAAGTAATATCCCTACCATCAATGCCATTGCCGGTGTATTTGTCAAACAAAACCTAACAAAGGCAACTTTAATTTAGTCAAAACTAGATATCCTAGAAACACAAGAAATAAAATAGAAATAAGGCCCAAACAACGCCCTATGTATGAATGAATGAAATATGGGAAACTCTTATTAACAAGTTGTAAAAGTTAATAATAATAATAATAATAATAATAATAACGCACACACTCAACATAGCCCCGCACTAGGGAAATCCTGTGTCGAGGGTGCCATGGACACATACATAGACAACCACAAATTACACCCAAACTCACGAGAGAAATAAATGTAGGCCATACAAACATTTCTCCCGACCCGGGAATCGAAGCTGGGACCTCTGCGTGGCAGTCCGGCATGGTAACCGTTCGGCCACGGAGGCAGTTGAAATGACAATGAAAACTTTAATGAAACTTAAATAAGAAGGAGAGTAAAGAGTATTAAGAATTAATGTAAACGCTCTTCGTGTCTAACATGATCCATACAATTAGAAGATAGTTCTAAAAATACTCGGCGTTTGCGTCGGTTCGATTCGGTTTATGTTTCCGCCGCGCTGTTGTGATTCAACGGCTATTTCAGAGCCGTATGATAAACATTACGCGTCCAATTCGCAAAGCAATTTCTGAATTTTAATTCATACTTTTGAATGGATTGCTTTGAATAAATTTTTATTCATATACATTTTAATAGGTAGCAGTATAGTCTGCCTTTTTTGAAGACGGAGTAAAATGACAGTTCATAGCGCAAAAGTGTTGCCCGTTTGCGAGCAGCTAGTGATTGCAGTCGATAAATATTCTATCGACTATCAAATGAATATTGGTCCCGCTTATGGAATAAATAGCCGAACTTCTTTCATTTGAATCATCCTCAACACATTATTCGTCGAATTACTGATCACAAATTTATTTTAATTGTAAGTATTTTAATTTTTGTAAGTTCATACATAATACACTATATTTAGAACTATGTTTATGAAAAATACAAAGAGGAGACATATTTCAAAGATTTATCATATCAATTCAATGCAGATAATCAAGTCCGGCTATTCTTATTAAAATGTATATGAATAAAAATTTACCTCGGTACTAGTAGGCCAACTGTCAAAATAAGAATAAAGAAGGCAATATCGCAATTAGTAATCCTAATGACTAACGTCGTAACTTTCACTCAGTCATTTTTGGCAAAATATTATCTTTTTTCACAATCTATCGATAAAACTATCGACAACAACGACACTATAAATTTTATAAAAACTGGCAACCCTACAAATGTCATTATACTCCGTTTTAAAAAAAATACAGACTATAGTAGCTCCTTGTGAAATTAGAAATATACTATTTGATATTTTTTGTAACTAATAATATTGTCACAGTTTTCATATTCTACTAAACTGGCAGGCAAATTTTATTACATTACAAATTTTATAAGTCTGAAGCATTGACAATGGTCTAAAGGTAATTCTAGTAATGTAACTAGAGTTATTAATTATACATGACATAAGTAATAGTAAGTTATTGTCATGTCATGTAGAAGTAAAAAAATATAACAAAGTCATGTCATTGTAGGTGAAATCAATTATATTGTCAAATTTGACAAGCTTAGAAATTTTTGTCTCTCAGCCATGACATCAGCTTACGTTTAAATAAATGATTATTATTTATATCTTTTATATTAGAGGGTAAAGTATTATATATTTTCAAACACATGGCCCCAGATTGTCTCAGGTAGTAACTTAATTTGGTACCACTGTGATTAACTAATCTTTCTGGGTACCTTATAATTTCTATTGTGAACATGCCGTGTCCTTTTAAAAAGTTTATAATTATTCTTGACAAAAATGGACACTTCAAAAATATACAAACAAGGAAAGAGTTTGTTCAGGGAAGTACTGGTATCTATTTCTGCCGCCGAGCAATAATATTATATCGATGGTTATACACTATAATGCTTGCCATCTGGTGAAAGGATTTGCGAGAGAACTTTATTCTGAGTGTCACTGCAACTGTCATGGATAGGCGTGTCGCTTAATACCCGGTGCAAGACTTGTGCGTCCCGTTGTGCGTACGTAGATTAATGATTAATGGCTTCAGATTATTAGTTATTTTCAAGGATGTTTAGCATTTTTTTCATGCCCTGTTCAATTATTAACTGACAGTCAAATCTATGCATCCACAAACCCGTGCTTATACGAGGACAGATTCAGGGACAGTCCTGTATCTTCGACATGTGTTTTGATTATAGTGACCCTGTCAACCTCTTGGTTATGCGGGAAGGGTACTATGACCTGTGCGCGCACAGGAACCTTATAAGTTCAGGTCCTGACCCCGGAGCAGCCAGTGTACAGGGTCACAGATCCTTGTCACTGCCATCATCCGATTCTCAAGAGGCTAGTGCCTAGGGTGAGCTGCCTCGGGTGCACGTACCGTACCATTCCTATTTTCAAGGTAGGTACGGGAGCTGTAGGCACGCTCACTTCCCGTTGTGCATTGCACAACTAACGGTTGCCACCACTAAGTCGTTGAATCTAAAATCCACTACCAAATCTCATATTTAGTGGCGGAGGCTCATTTCTTTATTATGTATAATCAAGCCATATCCTTCACTTATCAATGTTTTATTGGGATTCTTAGAAGTAGTAGCGATCTTGGTTCCCCGAATAGCTACCACTTCAAAAAGAAACAAACTGATTATAATACTGACCTTCCTTCTTCTCTTCAATGGTGACCTTCTTCTCCGGTCCGCTTTCTTCAATCCCTAGTTGCTTCATATTGTCAGTTCGCTCCTTCGCCGCGCCCATGAAGGCGCGCGGGTCCGACAGCGCCGCCATAAAATCTGCGCAAGCGCATACGGTTAGTTAAAATATTCATCATCACCATGATCATTAGCCTGTCGCATTTATCTTAAATTTTGTCGGAACGACATCCGTTACTTTGGCAATATCTAGTGTTATTTATTACTTTTTTACAGAGGCACTGACCTAGCGACCTGAAACCGATAGGAATTTAGGTCACGCATCAGTCTCAACAAAGATTGCCTATACAATAATTATGTCAAAATAATGTATACAGTGTTAAATCTTTGGGGAGAAAATAAAGATTATTATTATACATTTCGCTACTAGACATAGACTTATTCCATTGTGCGCTATTTTGCCCGGTTCTCAGCTTGTCGCTTCCATCTACTGCCAGCAGCCTTTCGCAGGCCTTCGGTCCAGTTATATCATTGATTTATACCATTAATGGTATAAGTGGTACTAACCTGCCCTAGTAGATCCCAGTCATACCATTATTAGATTGTCACTCCATCTGGCCAGAGGGTGTCTTACACTATACACTATGTTAGTCGAGACCACGGTTATCGGTTCATCGACAGATATGGCCAGCCCCCTACCACTTCAGCTTGCATATTCTACCTTGGTTCTCTGTCGGATAACCTCATGTTGAATCTTATCTTTTAGAGAGACAATATCATACAAAACTTAACTCAAACAACACTCCATTTGATTTCAATTTTAATAAAACCTTTTTATTGAATGAAATTCTGTTGATAGATAATGAATATGTGCTGGATGTACAGTGGAAAACCCATTATGCTTGATTCGTTGGACTTTGGACCGTCGTTGAATTTATATCTTTAGAGTCAAACTTGACGTCCTGTCCCGTGGACGGAAAGGAGATCGAGTACAATAGCTAGTAATAAAATATAACCTCCACAAACTTTGACCGTTATCTTTAAAGATGTACGGTGTTTGCTCAGACGGTTTCTGTTTTGAAAAGCTGATTTATGATCCAAAAACGATTGGGAACCACTGACCTTCAAAGCCATCTGGGACATAAATCTTCAGTTCGATATTGCAGAACAGCATAGGCAGGGACATGGGGAAGTTGGCCTCTGTTCTGAGTGAGATGTGCCTGTAGCCTGCCTGCAGTCCGTCCAGGGGCAAGATCCGCTGGCCGAGGAGTTTGCCGTTCTCGTCGTACACGCCAAAGCGGAGCACCGCCAAGTCCGGGAGTACCACCTATGCGGACAATACAGTGGTTTACACGGTAAGACCTAATAAAATGGAAATTGGTTGGGAGAACCATTCGAATCCCTTTTGGCGGCCGTAATTGCAATACCTCTCGCTGAGGGAAAAGGAAAATTTATTTATTAGACATTATGATCAAATCTGCATGTCGATGAAGGTTCACATCTCTTGGACGTCTTAAACGTGTGACATCACAGCACTTGGAATCCGTACCCAGCAGTAGGACGTATAATGAATCCACTATTTTATTTATTATTATATTTTAAAGGCACTCTACATAAACTTCAACTGAATTTTTCCGTATACCGTTCATTCGTCATACAAAAACATTTATATGGTGAAAAATTATACATATTATGCAGCGTGTTTTTGATTTTCATTAAATGTACCTTTAAATATTGTAGTCCAAAAACTCTTAATTAATAAGGACAGGAAATTTCGTGTAGCACTATAGTGATGTTTTTTCTATAACTATAGTGATAATTTTTCCACTTATAAACATATTGTAATCTATTTATTACTTATGATGTTTTTTTTTATAATACTAAGTCACGGGGCGGGATTAGTAAAATAAAAACATTATTTTAACTACGATAACGTGCCTTTTTAACAAATAAGCGTTTCTATCATACCAGCTCGCGTAACTGCTTTTTTCCTTAAAAACTTGGATCAGATGATCCATACGATTTGTATGAGAAGGTAAGTTAGATTAACAAAAAATATAAATAAATTTTACATTTAAACAATAGAACAAGAAACTTACTTTACGGAACAGGAAAGGCTCCTCATTGTAAACAGGATTGAGCCCATTGGAGGGCACCATACGAGTCCTGAACTCCTTCCGGATGGTGTCAGATGGCAATCCGTACATGTCCACTTCTACGTACGTCCCGATTTTCTTGTCCGACAAGAACTGACCTGCGATAACCTGAAGAAAGAGGAGAACTAATAGGAATAGGAATACTAATTATAAACATACAATGACTACAAAATGCCATCTAACGCTATCGGCGAATGCATTGAATCTCGGTAGTAATTAGCAGTCTGATACTGATAGGTGGCGCCACTTGTAACGACCCCTGAGTGATAATCAAGCCATTTACTGACGCATCGATCGGCAACCTCTTCGAATCTCGGTAGTGTTAACGGTCTGATAATAATAGAAGGCACCACTTGCATCGATCGCTGAACGGCTGTCACGCCATTTACTGACGCATCGGCGAATTTACCCAATCTCGGCAGTAGTTAACAGTTTTATACTAATGGATGGCGCCAGTTGCATCGACCGCGTGACGCCATTTCACAACAGTTCAGTGCCAACAGATGGTGCTACTTACTTGCACAGCACACTGAGCGGCAATCACGCCATCCACAGGAGCATCGGCAAACGGGTCGAAAGATCGGTCAGCGCGCCGCATGAAGTCTGGTTTTAGCAAGTACCCGCAGTTGCCGTTATATTCAAACTTGCCCTGATTCAGCTGCATCGGCAGGTCTGACGTTTGGAAGTTCAACGAGACCATTTGACAGCCCGCGTTCCAGAATACCTGAAAAGGTTTGTTTTGGAGTGTATTCGTTATTTTTTACTTGCATGATGTTTTAGTTTAATTAATTACTGTAAATACTAATAACGTGTGAATATTTATTAAATTATCTTACCATTATTTTTGTTAAAAATAGTATTATATGCAATCGTTGCATAAGAGGCTTTTAAGTACAGTACCGTTTTATACAATACTTTTTCTACGAGTAAATTAAAGTAATTAAACACAACCAATATTTAAAGATTATTTTGTTAACAATCTACGACAACAAACACAACGAAAGCCAAAAGAGACGCTAAAAAACGAAAAATCAAAGAGATAGAATAGAAGTGTCCGTGATTGGTCGAATACTGCTTACATTTTAACCAATCAGAAGGCAGTAGAGCGTTTGAGTAGTATGATAGGCAACGTATAGCGAGAGGTACTTTATAAATATAAACGACGATTGTATCATAATTATAATTTTATACCTGTATTCGATTTCAAAGCTTTGTCCAGAACTCCTAGACGTCTGTTTGACATCAACGCTCTATTATTCTTACAATTCTAAATACAAAACCTAAGCTGCCAGTACTACAGTAGCGTCATATTTGATATTTTATACTGTTTTTAGACAGTTTTTTTTTTGGCAAATGGTTCCGCCTTTGTATCTGTTATGTAAGATTTTAAGATATTATTCAATAAAATAATTTTAATTTTAATAATTTCACAAATGCAGTGGCGTTATTCTGTTTAGGAACACAGTGACGCGTTTAAGGAGACTCTTTTAATTAGGAAAAATACAAGGTTCTTTGTTTGGAATTCATTATAATTCTATGTACAGTGCGGTAAAGTTGGCGATTTAAATCACATTTTTTTGAATTGCCCAAAATTTTATCGTTTTTCACTTATCCAAAATCATATCCAATCCCATGTGCCTTTTCCGACTTCCATCCATCTTTTATTTTATATTTTTTTCTTTTATTTATCTAAATTTATTTAAGAAAGTAATATAAAAATTTAACTGCTGTAATAATAATATAATATTTATTCTATATTTATACTATTTGTTTATTTACGTTTTTCACTTTTTCTCCAAGTCTCAAATCGCTTTTCGAAATTACATTCCATATTGTAAAAGCTTCACCGTTTTAAAAATAAGTTAGTCAAAACACTTTATATTTTAGTGGCTAAAACGCGAAAAGACAAGAGAAATAAGGAAAAAAAACTTTATTGAATTTTTTCAGTTCAGTGGCGAGTACCATAGACAACAGAATTTTGGTACAGATCTAAAAACAGCGCCTTGGTGATAAGGTTAATGAAATTATAATTGACAGATTAAAGTACAGTAGAAAAAATATCTTTATAAATCAGGAGTTCAAGGCAAAATCCTATATTACACGAAATAAACTTTGAGTTTGCTAAGCTCTGCTATCTGCTAAGTTAGTCTATTTCACCATAGCTTGAATATCATATTTACCTGTGGCATATAATTAGAGGAGTCAGCTCTAGTCCCTTTAGGGTAGATACGCGACATCTGCCGCTTATTGTAGTTGACGAAGTCAATGGCCTGCGACTTGAGGTAGCTCATGCCCGTCGTCTCAGCAAACGAGGACATATTGTGGTGGATGTTACGCCCTGGGAATATTTTGTTCTTGTTATTATTATTATTATATATTAAAAAATCGGGTTTTCCGGGTTCGAGGCGACTGTCAACAACAGCTAGTTTATTTTACTGCCTCCGTGGCCGAACGGTTCCATACCGGACTGCCACGCAAAGGTCCCAGGTTCGATTCCCGGGAGAAATATTTGTATGGCCTACATTTCTTTCTCTCGTGAGTTGGGGTGCAATTTGTCGTTGTCTATGTGTTTGTCCAGGGCACCCGCGACACAGGGTTTCCTAGTGCGGGGCTATGTTGAGTGTGTACGTTATTATTATAATTATTTTTATTTCTCGTATCAATGTCATGTCTGTCACTATTTTTCATAAAAAAACATAAATTACATTTTCATAAATGACTGTACGCTAGTAACGTGAGAAAGAAAAAGTAAGAAAGTTAATCTCTTTAAACTTATCTCTTAAAGACACTCTGGGGCCCAGATTGTAAATTGACGTAACCGCACGTTTCTGCAGAACAAATATTCTTTTAATACCGGCGGCATTACTCCAAAGCAAAATGCCATTACGTCATTAAATCAATCTAGCGGTCTCTGACTGTACTTATAACAAATGACAATTGGCTCTTAAGTCGACAGAGAATAATCAAATGTGTGCGTATTGTAATGGTATGTTTGTATAGTGTAACGCAATAGCTCTATTGCGTTACGACGTTGAGATTGTTTGTGAAATAGCTCTGAATTACGGTGCAGTCTGGCCGCGGTGAAGACGGTTCTAAAATCTTTCACTAAATGTCAGTACAAAGACCTTTAACAAAAACACATAGGAGAAATTCGATAACTCGATAACTTGACCTATAGCTCAGTATACTACTGCAGTATGGTTGGGCGTTCAAGTCCCATCGGATCGAAAATGTTTTTTCCATGTGTTCGATCTTTGTATAAATAATAATTATAGTCTAATGATGTTTTGGTCAAAGAAGTAACACACTATCGGCCTCCTCGAAGCTCTGGAACTTGATAGGTTGCGCGTAGTTCACCATGGAAGAGAGCCAGGGGTGCACGTTTGTGGTGGAGCCGGTGTACGCCACTGGAGGCGGTGCGTCATCACTAGCTGCTGCGGCTTCTGCTACTATCTCTTCGGGCTGGAAATAATATCAAAAAATGCATTTTTTTGTTTTGATATTTCTTCTAAAACGACTTAAAAAAGGAGGAAGTTCTCAATTCGTGTTTTTTATATATGTTACGCGATAACTCCGGAACTTTTCCGGAAATTTTGCAAACCTATTTTGATGGTAATTTTTTTTTGTTGGAAACTCTTTTTTGTCAGTAGTGGTTTCGTTAAAACTTGAAGAAAATATTCCACCTCTAATGGTGACAAACTAGGGGATGAATGACTTTTCTTGTACAGGGTAGTCTTTTTGTCGTACTCTGTACTGATTACTAATTACCAGCAAAGTTCTATGTGGCTAGAATAGAAAAACATAATTGTCGCCTCGAAGTGCCACACGAAAGTGCGGTACAGTGAAATCTGACTCGCAGACGCCGAAATATTTAACGGAGATGGGGGACGGTTCAAATTGTCATAATTCCGAAACTTAGGAGTGTGTTTTTTAATTGAAGAAAGCGTGTCAAACTGTTTTGTTTCTAACTACTTGTACCTTTTTATCAGGAATGGCAACCGCAGAAGCGTCTTCTTTTTCTTCGTCTTCAATGACGAACTGACCCTGCCTGAACAGCTCCAGTTCTTGCTTCTCAACCTCAGGCTTTAGCCGCTTATTTTTTATGAGGATCTTGCGTTTGAGGGCTGATGGTGGGGGCAGGGGAACGCCTGGTTCTAGCTGTGAGTCACAAGAAAAAAAGAGGCATAAGATGCACTGGAGACAGTTTAGGAAAACAAATGTTGCACATTATTATATCAAATATCTGATTTCAGTTTTCATAAAATTTGACATAGTTGTTATCGATAGTTCTATCGATAGATTGTGAAAAAGGGTAAAATATTGCCAAAAATGTCAGAATTGTAAATGTTACGACGTTCTAAGGCTCAATTTATATTGCGGCAGATCGGAGTGGAAGCGAATTTTTGTAACATAGCATAATGAACTTTATGGTAAATTTGTAACGTACAAATTAGATACGAGCTGAAATCTTCCGCGGGATTCTGACAAAAATTCGCTTCCACTCCGTTCCGCCGCAACATAAATTAAGCCTAATGATTATAATAATAATAATAATAATAAAATCTCTTTATTGTCTCCAATGTAAACAGAACTTGTACAAAAAAAAACGATAATAAATAAAACTTAAATGACAAATAAACTTATATTAAATGACGTAATAAACAGGAGGCAAAAGGAGATGTCTCAGCTGATGCTGCGCCTGTTGATGACAGTTGCAGCGCTGGTTTTCAGTCACCCCCTTCTCCCTTAGATGGAATGCGGGATAATAGTATCGAGGACAGGGCTATTATGTATCAATTTAAATCTAACATACTATTTGATTACTAATTGCGATATTGCCTTCTTAATTTTTATAATGACCGTAAGCCTACTACTATGGAAATAACTTTTTATTAAAATATCATTTTAATTAAAACAGGCGAATTTGATTATTTATACTGAATTCGAATATAAAACTTTAAAATATATCTTCCATTTGTATTTTTAATAGACATTTTTACATACATTTAGACACAGTACTAAATGCGGTGTACCTATGTATGAACTTACAAAAATTGACAATTCAAGTGAATCTGTGCCCAGCAGTTGGACGAATAATAGGAAAATAAGATGATGATTCAAATGAAATAAGTTCGGCTATTTATTGCATAAGCGTGACCAACATTTAGTCGACAGTCGATAGAATATTTATCGATAGCAATCAGTTGCGAGCGGACAACACTTTCGCGCAATGAAATGTCATTTTACTCCATCTTCAAAAAAAAAAGACAAGACTATACCCAGAACAACAACCAATTTAAAAAGTTCGTTTCTTAATTCGATTCTGTCGTAAACCAGAATGTGCTGTTCTAAGTGACCATTGACTTACAATTATATGGACGTCGGGTCCGCGCTAAAAAGTGTCCGCACTTGTAAGGCGCTAAAATCGTATACAGAGCGCCAAACTCCGCTTTATTTATATATATTTATTCTTCATTTGTTCGACTGACAGCGCGATACTGCGATGACATTACAATTTAAATTTCGAATAGGTTGACTTGGGACATTTTTTTCGTGGTTTTTGTATTAGACCCGTCGTCCATTTATTTGTAAGTCAATGTAAGTGACCTAGTAAGTTGACGACAGCTCAATTTAAGCCTGTATTGTAACGTCCATGGTCTCAGCGGGTGTCAGCATCTTCTAGCCGTGCGAGTTTTTTTAACCACCCGCACTTGATCTTCATTATATATTTGTCCACTAGGGTTGTCACTAGACCGACACACAAAACTCGCGACATCCGGCGACTTGTCGGGCGATACTTATGTCGTTTACATTTGCTGATAACTGGATCCCATGACGTACTGTGATCCCAAATATAAACGTCAACATCAGAAGCGTCGAGGTAATTAAAATATGTTTTATATATGATTAAGTACCGAATTAAAAATCAAATAATGTGTCAAAATCGTGAAAGTTTAAATCAAAGCAAAAAGCCGTGGTAGCCTAACGGTTTAACTTCCCGCCTTTCAAGCAGAGGTCGTGGGTTTGAATCCGGGCTCGCACTTCTGACTTTCTCGGAATTTATGTGCGAAATTTAATTAAAAATTGACCATGAGCTTTTCAGTGAAGGCAAATATCTTGATGAAACCTTCACGTTAAAGGTTCACAACCCTTGCAAAACATGTGAAGTCGCCAAAACCTCGCCTGAGAGGAAACCCGTGCCCAGAAGTGGGACGGATAAATAGGTTGATGATGATATAAGTGATATCTTACCGGGTATTCTGGCAACGGTTCCTTCAGCAACAAATCCCCCAAGATCTCATCACAGTACTTCGCAAGCTTATATTGCTGGGCCTTGCAACAGTGGTTTTCAAACGACAGAATGACAGGGTAATCCGATGTGACAAAGGCAGTGTCTCTTAAGGCGTATATCACGTCTTTGAAGAGGATGTCTGTACACATTGCCATGCCGTGAGTGATGATTGGTTCCTCATCCTCGCCTTTACCGTCCCAGCAGTCGAGTTCTACGCATCTGTTGGGAATTATAGGTAATTTGTATGGTGTACAAACTAACAATCAACAGAATATATTTTACTTGATGGAAATTGTGTACAGCCACCAGACAGGTTGTGATGCTAATGCCGCCGTTAGCCAACCGTGGCATTTAATTTTTTGGGAAGCTGACCAAATTGTTTTAAAAAACATGATTAAACTACGACGCACTAGTCAAACGTGAAGGGTAAGGGTGTTGGTGAAAAAGTATGGACATGGGACTTGTCAACTTATGTCTCAGGGTGACGGGCGCAGCGGTAGTGCCTCTTGGAACTTTGTTATTTAAAGTAGGCGCTGCAATTGTTATGGATAGGCGTGCCGCTTACCACCAAACGCTCTTGTTCGTCCCGTCAGTTGATATCACAAAAAAAATCACTCCTTACCACCAAACTACCGTTCCACCAAAGGCACAATACGGCTGTTAGTGTAACGTACAGAAGAAAAACCATATTATACTATTATTACTAATATTATACTAGTTACCTGCATCCAGCTAGCAAGACCTGTCGATACATCTCGACAGAACTTTTCCCTCCGAACTGTCTTCCCGATAAATAAGTGTTATGAGACGAGTTTATGTAGTAATGCGCCAAAGGTTGATCCATTTCCATGTAATTGTCGAGGCGGTCGAGGAATACTGGTGCGTTCTCGTCTGACATTAGGTATCGGATTAGACCGTCTTTTGTGAGGCATTCTGAAAATTATTATATTTTCTTTTTCACATGGAAATCAAAACTACAATAAAGCATATCATTCTGAATTAAAATCTAACAATTACTCTTACCATCATTTATGTATCCACTATTTGTACTAAGTGCCATACAAATAGTGGATACTTAAATGACGGCACCGGCTGTACTCGGGTGCATTCGAAAATCCGAACATTACAGAGGGATTGACCGATAAGCACCGCTATTCGACATCTTCTTTTAAATTAATTTCTAGTAAGATATAGGACAAAATTTTCTATCGTAGTAAAACGTTGCCTATTGGTGGATTTTTGATATTCATAACTGGATATTTACAATGCTAACAGATTGACTGCATGTTAATGCGTGAAGTCGTTATCAACTGCATGTAGTCGAGGCCTCGGGTGCATGAAATTGATAACGTCATCACGCATCAACTGCAACCACGCAGTCAATGTGTTAGTAGCCTTAGAAAAATTCTACTTTATGTTTTTTTAGTAATAATTATAATAGCTTTTTCATGAAACATACTACAGCATGATCTTTCTTGAGGATTATATTTGTCAAGTAAACTAGTCACTGTGATATATTATCTTTAAAAACAAAAAAGTTATATCAAATTTAACGACACACTTCCCTTAAAATGTCAAATTCAAGAAGCGTATACATTGCCCCTTAAATAAATTTGTGACTTTGTCAAAACGACTATAAAGAACAGCTAGTTTATTTTTATTCCTCGTATTAATGTTAATGTTGGGAATTGGTATGTCGATCATACCAATTCACTCTACAATGAGTTAAATAAAACACGTTGGGCATAGCATATAGTACAATTACAAGTAGTGTAACTCTATATAAAGGCAGCAGCGCGATTGGTATGTGTACACGCCTGTCTCGCGCCGTGTACGAACGCATACATTCGCACCATCTCGCGGTGCACTCGCGTTGCTTAGCGCGACTAGCGCGAGTCGACGCATGCGCTATTCATTACAACAGGTTTACTCCCGTCCTCCGTTTCGCAAACTTTGTGTCGTTAAATAGTCTTCTCAAACAGTGGAATTCATTTTCTAATTTTAAGTATACAAAAATAATTTTAGTTAGGGTTTGGCCGCACTCACCGCCGCCCCCATTACTGTGCCGCTTGGCCCTCTCTGCACCCTCGCTACGCCACTAGACCTCGGGTTTTAACCGCAAAATACATAAATGCTGTAGCATTAAGCAAGATTGTCCTGTAGGTACAACGAAAATAAAGATGTGACAACCCTACGCTCCTTGCGAAGTGTAGGCACTCATAGGCGGGAGTTGCACTACTGTATTATTGTATCTATGCTTTCGCAGCCCACTGACAAAATCTTCAATTATTATTCATCGCTTTCAGTACATCGATTCTATTGCATCGGTACCGGATACTTACTGGTATTTCTAGCTTCCTCATTTTGTTCATAATCAGTGATAATCTCTGCAGCCCTCTTATCATCATACAGCGGGTACAGGATCTCGTTCAGTCGAGGGTCTCGCTGCTTCTCATTAAGGAAGTTCACGAACTGCTCCAAGGTTATACGGTCAGATTTGCCTTGGGTACTGTAAATAACATTAGTTCATTATTACAGATTCCTGTGAGTGGCGTTTTTTTATACCAAGCGATGGGACGAACAAGTCGTGCGCCTGGTGATAAGCGACACGTCTGTCCATAACAGTTACAGTGCCACTCAGAGCTTTTAATTTCAAAGATCTTAGGGGTACTGCCACTGCGCCCGTCACCCTAAGGCGATTATCACACGGGGGCAGTGTGATAATCGCCACCACCATCGCACCACGCAACGGAGTGAAATAGAATACCGGATTACATATATTGCCGACAACATACCATTACAGTATATGCCACAAACAACCCCGTACAAGCGGTTAAAAGCAACTGAATAAAATACGTTCAACTGGTGCCCCACCTGAATTTCAATAGAGCGTAAATTACGAGAATGAAGAATCGCGACTAACAACTCACAAAACGACGTAATTCGGTAGTCCTGTAGTAACATAATTAAGTAATTGAAAGGTGTATTTGAAATACAAGTACGTACTTAAATTTTTAGTTAGTAATTGAAATATTGAATTTATTTCCACTAGTTCAATGCATGGAACTTTGGATTTCAATTGTTCCATGTGGAACCGAGATGGAATTACTGGGAATAAACCATTGAAATTACTATCTAAAAATGTATTATGTAATTATAATTTGAAATAAATGAGATCACAATCCCGTATTTTGTATTTTATATTCTCAACATACCTCTTGAAAGTATTTTGTAGACACGAAAGTATTACGTAATTTATATTTTAATTAAGACGTGATTGTAGTGAACAGAAAGTAGAAAATTCGTGGATATAAAATTTTTAGATTCAATTTAATATACCTTTGCGAATATAAATTACTTTTTGCAAAACTTGTTTCCACCATGATGTTAAATTATTCCACTAGTTTGTCATAATTATTAATCCAAAGATTGAACTATCACAAAAAAATCCTTCGATCCTGCCGGATTCGAACCAGCGTCTTCTAGCAATCCGTGCTAGAAATGTCAACTATTTCTTTTTTTTGGTTTTTTAACGTTTTTGCCACAGCACTATCTGTGAGAAATCTATTTCTTCACTCAGATTTAAGAGTGTAAAACATACACGATTTCGTTACAAACCCTGTATATTACATCACTAAAAAGTGCACACTATGGCTGAGATTTCGATCCCTCTTACGTATTAGAATCGTAAACCCAAATACACAACTTTAAAAAAAATATTAATTGAAAGAACTAAAACGAGCAAAACACCTGAAATTCACAAGGTATGGCAATGAATTTAACACATACGCATTGACTTACAAATAAATGGACGACGGGTCTAATACAAAAACCACGAAAAAAATGTCCTAAGTCAACCTATTTAAACGTAGTGACATGTAAAGGAATATGAAAAAGCTAAAACGTTGAATTTAAATTGTAATGTCATCGCAGTACTGCCTAATTTTGCTTGCTTCGCTGTCAGTCGAACAAACGAAGACTAAAGCGTGAATGACGCTTTGTATACGATTTTAACGCCCTATAAGCCCGCCTTCGCCGTGATGTGCATATCCTGTCCACCCTTTTTAATATACTTCATGACCCAAATTCCCCTTCCTACCTACGACGTTCCCGGTTCCAACTGCTTCCCCCTCCTAGCCGCTTAAGGCGTCCGTGCATCACTAAGATGCTCGTTCGTCCTAGTTGTAAAACAAATTTCTTTTACAACTCCTTTTCCTCTCGTGCAGCGCAGCTGTGGAACAGACTCCCTTCCCATATTCAGTCTAGTCCGTCAATTGCTTCCTTCAAGAAAAGGTTGACAGCGCACTTTCTTGCTGAACTCTCTTAATAATCATCATATTTGTATATGTGTAAGTTTATTGATACAATGTATTATACGTTATGTAGTCTATTTATTTATATACTATTTTAATTATTTAACGGTAATTTTATATATGCATATTTTATACATGTAGATTATCATCTTTTGTTATCTCTTTTGCACGCCGTTCCCCGCTTAAAACCTTTGCTCTCACTGCCTTGGGTTGGCTGGAAGAGATCTCTTTTAGAGATAAGTCCACCTTTGCTCACCTTATGTTATTTTTTTTTTGTTTCTGTTTATTTGTTTGGTGCAATAAAGAATAATAAGTTCGGACACTTTTTAGCGCGGACCCGACGTCCATATAATTGTAAGTTAATGCACATACGCGTTATTTTTCACTCTTTACAAATTTTACATCTGAGAGGCCTACACAAAAAATAGTGATTTATAATAAAATGTACCTACATTTGTGATTTACGATAGATTACGTAGGAGGAGTCGATTTGTAAAACCAACTTTGACATCGACTAAGCAAAAATGGACAGCTAAACTAAGCAAATTTTTTGTATTTACCAAACTTCCAGCAGAAGATAAGGGAGTAAACGCAAACTTTAATATTTTTCTGATACAAAGTCACAGGACGAGCAAGTCGTACACCTGGATGGTAAGCGGCACGCCTGTCCATAACAGTTCCAGTGCCACTCAGAGCTTTAAATCGCAAAGATCTGAGGGGCACTGCCACTGCGCCCGTCACCCTAGTTGACAAGTCCCATGTGCCCGTAGTTGCACCGTATTTTCTTGCTTAAACTTAGGCGAAGTTTAAGCACGAAAATACGGTGTTTTACATTGATTGAAACTTTCACGATTTTCACACATTATTTGATTTTGGACGTGTTGCAACATCCATTGTCTCGAAGTGACTCCTACTTTCCATGGTCCCTTCGAGACAATGGACGTTGTAACACGTCCGAAACATCGAGGTAATTAAAATAGGTTTTATATACGATTATTAAGTCCCAGTTTTGAAATAAAAAAAAATTTGTTTGTAAATACGAAAAACTTGCTTAGCTCGCCATTTTTTTTTATCGTTTTCGTTATCTCCTATATACGTTATCAGCAATACTCACATGGATCTAAATAGCTCCTCAATGTCGTTCCTAGGACAGATCTTGTGATAGAGAGCGTAGAACTTGTCAAATGTAAATGCCTCTTTCTCCATAACGTCATTTTTCCCCGATGGTAGGCCAAGATCGGCCAGGCACTGGTAGACCAACTTTTCAGTTTTTCCCGACGCGAATGTACGGGCCACCACTTTAACTGGCACCTTCCCACGAGGATCCGTCAGGAAGCAGAGGCGCATCCAACTGGAAAACAATTTGAATAAAGAATAAATTTTTACCCTTGGTATAATAAAGGGCGATCATACGTCAAATAAAAATAATACGAGCCACATGGAACAAATGATGTATATGTGAAACTCCTCGTATGGGCCACCTTGCTCCATACATGTATCATTGATCGAGCCAGATTTGAACCAGCGGCTTATGGATCCGGCTCGATAGACCAAAATGTATGGGCGCCCTTGACCCATATATTAAGCATAAAAAACTATAATCGAATAATGTAGTTCGTAGAATTTTTAACATCTCCTGAAAAGTCGTAATTTTGCAGATCGTCGGTGTTTTGTACAACGGGCGTAAGCGCCATTTTGAATTTTTTTTCTGGGGAACATATTTTAGGTATTTTGGATTGTTTTAAAATATTTACGTCCTGTTTTAAATTCAATTTTAAAACTTAAAGGAAATTTAGACCAAAATCAACTCGACTGCCTATGTGGTGACTGGACTGCCATGCAGCGGTCCCGGGTCCTACATTTACTTCTCTCGTGAGTTTTGGTGTAATAGGAATTTGGGTGGTTGTCTACCTACGTGTGACACCCGCGATATAGGGCTTCCCTAGTGCCACTTGCGCCGTCTCTACAGAACACCGACGAGATGTGATTTTATTACACCAAAAGTGCGACTTTATAGTACATATATGTATAGTATGTGAAAACAGCTATCACTAAGTATAAGTGCATTCATTTAGCCACATACTAAGATATTCATACTAACACTATTGAAACTGCAAGTTTGAAAGCTAAGTAAATTATCTAAGGCACTTTTTTAACAACCGTTTTATCTAGTTGTATTGCTCATAGCTGTGGCTTACCGTACGTAAAATAAAAATAATGACGCATGTGTGGCGTGTGCAGTAATTAAATGGTTTATTAGTATGTATAGCGGTAAACAAATATATTTAAATATTTATTACGTTATTTGTAAATTAACCAGCGTGCGAGATGCTTGAACATGCAAGGAGGGTTGATTTCCGAAAGTAATACTTGTAAATTTCGCAGCTGTGCTTTTTAATTTTGTAGGTGAGAGGTATAGGAACTTTAGTCCATACTTTGGAATGTTGATGGTTTTACAAACAATGCTCTAAGATGCTATAAATGGTAAAAGACGAGTCGTATCGTCTGTTTTCTTTTTAATTTAATTTACCTTATGTGATCTTAAAATTTTAAATGCCTAATGAACTTCATTCTCATTAAAAGGTTTTGTAGTAAAAATTATTATTTAGCACTTAAGGTTCTTTACCTCTCACCTACAGAAATATTTAGGCGTAACAGGAGATAAGCAAAAAGCCTGCTTATTAGTAATTTAGTATAATTATATAGTATAGAGTGGTGGTGACCAGGTACAAGAACGATAATTCATTTGTGACGTCGACGACGGTTCAAATTACCGATTATTCCCATCTGATCCCTTATACCGATTCACCGCCAATTTTAAATTCCCAACTGATCCCCTCTTTCTTTTGCAACTCCCAACGGATTCTCTCATTGCATTTGTAAGGTAAGTACGGTCAAGAGAAAAAGAAGTTTGTAATCAAATATTCATTTATTCAGCAATTGTGATAATCATCAGACAGCCAAATATTTTTGTGACAGGTCATTGATATTGACATATTGCAAATAACAAGTAACAAAAAAATAGTCTTAAGTAATATTTGAAATCTAAGTTTAATGTTTATAATTATCACAATATTTTTTTATTTGTGTCAGGTCATTGATATTGACATATTGTAAATCACAAATAGCAAAAATCAGTCTTAAGTATTATTTAAGTAAATAACAAAGTGTTAAAGACATTGACCATTAAAGTATAGCTAATGTAATAAAATACAGTACATCCCTCAAATACATTTTATTGTTGACTGTACCACAGTACCTACTAAAAAGAAACTTGTAAGTACAGGGCATAAGGTGGGCATAAAATATTAATATTTATTCTTGATCCCCTGCATTAAGGATCCGATGGAAATAGAAAATAAAACAGATTCCAGGGGATCAGTTTTAGGAGATCCTGTAGCGGCATGTAATGTTAATTACTATGTACATTTAGCAGCAATACCTCTCGTTGCCAAAGGAAAACATGATGAAACCTGCACGAAATTAAATTTAACATCGCTTGAAAAAAGTGTGAAGTCTGTTTTTGTTTTTTTTTATTACAAATACACTTTTAGCATGCTAGGAAGCCTAAGCAGATTTGTCTGTATATTGTAACGTGGTCGTAATGTTGCAACGAATGTTACCAATATTCGGTCGTATATTAAAATTGGCACAAAAATACCACTTATTAATTTAATTTGTGATTAATTTAATAAGTAATTTTGTGCAATGGCACAAAAACACAAAATGGTAAGTACTTCAATTGTCAAGTTAAAGAAGAAAGTAATTATCAGGTTCTTATATTCCTATTTTCGCGATTATCAGACATAGGAAATGAAACTAGTTTTTCGGATCTAAATTCGCGTATATTTGTTATTTTTTTCAAACAAATCGACGTTACAGGCCCTTTACCACCTTACTTTTCGCTATATATAGTTACAAAAGTTATTAATTAAGTACCATATATCTAATTTTTCAAAGAACATTCCAATTTACACTACGTATATTTTACAAATTATTTTATTTTAATAATATGAATTTTTATTGAATTACATTGATTAATAATGGCAATTAAAATAAATTAAAACGATTAAATTAGTGCTGCAGTCTTATAGTCTGCTTGGGATTTTTCATCAGAGAAAATACTGCATCCCAAACTGGTGGTAAGGCAAAACCATCTTTCCTGTTGAAAGTAGTATGTTTTTTTTTAATCAGTGACTTCTCGCAGCATCCTGAGTACAGAGAGTAGAAACGGACTTCTTTTATAAGGACCTGGCGTTTATCGAACTTAATTGAATAATGTAGGTTTATCCATAACATGCTCGCGAACTACAGATTTTTTTTAAAGTAATAGTTTCTTTCTTTTTTCAAAACTTCAACTTAACCTCATTTCATTTTATTTAAGTTTGCAAATATTATTATTTATTAGTACTTATGTACTTTTTGATTTCGCTAGTGAGAAATAAAGATATGTTTATTTATACCACCACCATCATCATCATAACCATAACTATCATTACCGCCATGGCCATTATTATTAGTTTCAATATTAATATACTCCTAATTGTGATTAGATTGTTTTCAAAGCATTGCTTTAATATTTCGCATAATACTGAAGTAGTATTGGTATAAAACATTGGATGTATAGAATTCTCGTACAATACGTTCGAGAATACATTTTGCCTCGTACATGGACCATTCTCGTTTCTGCAATTTTTTTTTGTGCATATGTATCAAAAAACGATATACTTGTATTACTTAGTAAATTCCTGTTTAAAATTAATCGAGGTAGTTTATATTAATATGACTTTTATTCATATTTACACAATATAAATATTTCTCTAAAACATCATTAAGAAAGTGATGAAAATGTCGCTTCCATGTCGTGTGCAAAGTCCATTTACAATGATACAAATTAAAATTAAATATATTTATCTGTAATAAATAAACTTTCTAAAAAATATTAAATAATTGCAACATAAATAAAATAATGGATTCAAAATATTTCATAACATTTGTGCATGAAAAAATTCTCGCCTCCATGCAAACTTATTGAACGCAGCCTCATTTATCAATCAGTCGACACAGTGTCTGAACAATTACAGACAACAAACACAATGCCATCTTGAAAGTTTTTGACCGTTTGCCAATTCCGGGATAATAATTTTGGCGCACTGACATAAAAGGTACGATTTTTCAAAAAATAGCCTGCTAATGCCATAGAGGTGACACAATTTTCATGAATTTGTGTCACTCCGTGGAGGCGTTTTTTCTATTTTCCTTTTTTTCATGAAAACTACAGTGATAATAGCCAGGTTCTTAAGTGAAACATATTGTAGGATACGGTACCTTTCATTTCAGACTACTTTGAATCGTATCAGCAAAACATTGTTTTTTTTTTATTATTTTAAGTCCGTTTTTGAGAATGGCCCACATATCGTACACAAATGAAATTTTCTTGTCTGTACGTTCGTTCTCGTACGTCTGGTGTTTATGAATGGAATTCATAATATTTATATTGATTATCTAACACTTTGACCGCTTCCGTACAAAACATGTGGAGCGTATACAGTACAGTTAAATACATAGGGCGCACTATAAGTTTCCGGAGCTGGTCACTAACAAAAAAAATATTTAAAAAGTAATTACAACATTTGAAAATGGAACTCTTTGGCTGTAGAATACAGTTTGTTTCATCTGACTGTCACTTGTTTTTACATTGTGGCGCCATTTTAGAAATTGCTTGTCTACATCACCATGGATTTAACTCGTGAACATTTTCGTAGTATGATTTTCCACGACTTTAATTGTAATCAGCGGAGCTTCAAACTGCTTTTGGCGATGAAGCACCATGCAACACGACTATTTATAGCTGGTTTGCAGAATTTAAACGCGGTCATGTGAATCTCAGTGACGAATTTCGTGATGGTCGCCCGTCCACTGCTGTGAACAACAAAAACGTCGATGCGGTGCGCCGTATGATCAAAACAGGCAGACATGTGACGAGGCATGAGATTCGGGCATCTTTAGGCATAGGCATGAGTCAAATACAATCAATACTTCACAAACATTTGGGTGTGAAAAAGCTGTGCTCTCGGTGGATCCCACAAAATTTGACTGAGGCTCAAAAAACGGATTCACTTGGTGCAATGCCATGCTTACCAGATTCAACGAAGGGGCGTCAAATTTGGTGTGGGACATAGTAACAGGTGACGGAAACATGAATTTATAGTTACCCAAACCAAAGCAGCAATCGAGCGTAAGGGTCTTTCGAGATGTGCCGAAAACAACTAAAGTGGCGCGCGTGCAAAGTGCCTCTAAGCGGATGATTGCTTCTTTTTTTAATAGAACTGGACACGTGGCTACTGTTGCTTTGGAGAATTTTTGTACCGTGAATAGTGATTGGTACAGGACCATTTGTTTGCCGAAAATTATTGACAAACTCCGTAAAAATAACCGCAAACGCCGTATCACGATAATGCCAGTTCTCACACGGCCAGACAGACAAATGAATTTTTGAAAGTGAACAACGTTGACCTTATGAGAAATCCCGCGTACAATCCCGACCTGGCACCTTGTGGCTTTTATTTATTTCCAAAAATTAAGAACCAGTTACGCGGTCAACGATTTTCATCTTATCATTCTTATTAAGTCCGGAAACTTTTAGTGTGCCCCACGTATAGATGCAAAAGATATTCGGGGAGAAAACATTTTTTTGGGCTAATGTCACTAATATTTATTTTCACTTAATGGCACTAATAGGTGTTATTGTTCTTCTTCTTTTTGTTTCTAAGCGATGCTTTTTTAAGATTTCGTCAGTATCGGTTTTGTAAAAATAATATAAAAAATAAAAAAACTTGTCAAATTTGTGTAAATTGAGATAGTACAAGTTGCCAGTTCAGTCGATATTTATCATTGGGCAATTAATTTACAGAATTTTCCAATTCTGAAGTATTTCTGTTGAATAATGAAAGAGTATTATTTTCAGGTTAGATTTCTCTGCCTAATTTCAGTGGCAATTTTTATTATTTTGAAATATTTCTAAATAAAATTTGAGGACACTATTCTCGAATACTAAGTAATACTTACTTCATTATTTTCTGGAATTTTAATATTTTATTGAATATTTAACTAACAAAAATTGCCACCGAAATTAGACAAAACTAACTTAAAAATTATCCATTTATAAGTTGGTTCGTTTTTAATACGACGGCGACATGATGGTTTGTTTAGATTTTTTGTTTTTTTTTTTAACATCCATACCAACTACCTGGTCTCAAACTAGATGAACTTGGACTTTAAACAAATATGCATTGTACGTACTGCTTCATCAAATTGGTCCTTGGACAGGTGTTGCTGATTTTGTTGTTGTGGGTGATCGCGCGTAGGCTCTCCTTCCACGCCTTTAAACAAAGCGACATGCAGACATGCAGCAAAATAACAAGTACAATTCAGATAAAGTTAGTATTTTTCAACAAATTGAGACGTGAACAGAAAAATCACCACACGTTAATAAAAAATAAAAGGTATTTTTAAATAAAGAAAACCCGTGATGAGTGAGGATAAGTACTATATAGTGACGGGAGTTTGTGGGCTCGGTAGTGCCCCCGCCAAGTCCGGCTTTACACTTTTCAAACTTTTCACAAATTTATTTTTAATCCCTCAACTACAACTGTCCATCTTATTACACTTTTAAAATACAGTGATGTAAAATAAGAAGAGCTCGTACCTACGTAATTTATATTAAAAAAACATGCATTCAAACTGAAACTAAATAGTTAATCGGTTACCGGAAAGTGCGTGAAACCGGATAATGTCTATAAATAACTTTGTTACCAATAACAACACAGCGTTTTTTGATTTATACAAAGATCAAACACAAAGAAGAATTCCTTCGATCTAACAGGACTAGAACCTGGCTGCTGTGTCCTTATGCCAATTTAGCCCAACTTACTATTCAAAAAGCTGTAAGTCTGTAAATTTGAGTGAAGAAAAACTTAACGATTAAAAAACGGTTGCCCTAGGTTGGCATACAGACAGATTCGACTCTTGTCAGACCGAATTTTCCTTTGTGTTTCAACGTTGATTAATAAATTATAAAAAAAGTAGTGGAGTAATTTCAATATTAAAACTACTTATTTATCCTCACTTCATTGCAGATTTTCTAGTAATCTTGTTATTTATACAAAAGCCATGCTTCGAAATGTGCCATGCGATAACTTGCCGTTGGCAAATGAGCCAGTGCTTGGCTACTTACTGCTTGGTCAAACACGTCATCGGACACACGTTGTTGGCTTTCACATTGTGAGTGATTTGTCTGAGGCCTTTTAACCATTCCTATTGGACATAAATTTGTTTTTATTAAACTGCCAGAAGGACTTATTTACCACCAAATTATTAATGTTGTAAGACTTATCAATTGCGCACGCTATCAGCTATATACATATAGAGGTGATTTGATGTGTCAAATTCTATTATTTTTGATTACCCTGCCCTATACAATTACATAACATCTTTCTTCATGACGAAATAGACTCAAAGAAATAAAGTACGTAAAGAACAGGCGCTTGCCGCCTTTTCCATTAATACAAGGAAAGATAGAATTTTTATGAAGAGGCTGTATGGTGAACCTTTGCCTACCCAAATAAATGGGCGAAAATTTATAAAAAAAAGTACTAAAGTAAGTATTCTTTCTGAACATTGACTTCTGAAGTTCAAAATTGAGGCATTATGGAGTTTACATTTCAGTCCTCTGTCGTCTAGGCCAAACGCCTAGTTTTAAAGCTAAAACTAGGCGTTTGGCGAAGAGGGAGCACTTTTTTATTATAAATAAAATAAGAATAATAATTAGTCACAGAAAAGTTCATAACGAAACAAACATCATAGTAAGGTGGTAGTCTTAAATTAATTTCTAATAAGATTTAGGACAACATTTTCTATCATAATAACACGTTTCTTATTAATAAATGTCAATTACGGTGTTCTTACTGGTGAGTGTCGACTATTGCGGTGTGGCGGCTTTAGACGAAGCCTATTATCACCGGTTCATCGGCAGTCTCTTTGGACGAGTGTCGCCAAGGAGAGTGTTTTTAATTATGTCACATTTCAGCTATTTCAAATTGTTTAAATTGTTGTGTAAAATGATATGAAATATTATAATTCATGAAGTTCACGAGGCCGTTTTATTATTCGATAAAGGGGAAGGATAAATTCCCCAAATTGGTGACCATTAGTGGATTTTTGATGTTCATTACTGGAAATTTAAAGAAATTAAAATGATTTATGTTTTTTTAGTAGTAATAACTATAACAGCTTTATTATGAAACATACTACACCATGATGTTTCTTGAGGATGTATGAAAAATCATTTTATTAAATTTGACCAACTTCTGCTGTCCCGATTTTTTCGTCCCATACAATGAAATCATCCTTTTAAGAAGCTGAGCTTAGAATAGTAACGCATAGAATGATGGTTTCATATCAAACGAACTGTCACAAGTGAGGCAAAAATCAAATTCATGTAGGCGTAAGCAACTTGTATCTACGCTCGTCGGCACGCACACAAATATACAAATAATGATGCCATGGAATAACATTTCCCTCAAAAGTGTAGTATAAGTAGTATCTATTTTATGTTTGTCTGGCGTATTTTTACACTCATTTACCGCACATTTCGTCATTTTTAGCTATAATTCTTGAGCTGTTCGCGGTGCAAGTTGACCTTGAGCACTGAAGGCCCGCAAGCTCATGTAGGCCCATTAGGAGCGCTTCAATTTGCCTCACTTAGCGTGTGCGGACTAGGTTTCTATGCGTTATTATTCTAAGAAGCTGAGAATATCAGCTTAAAAATTTGTAACTTTTATTAATTTTCTATGAAAGTCATTTTATGAAATTTTATCAACTTCTGATGTCCCAATTTTTTTTGTCCCGTACAATGAAATGATCCTTACATAAAACTGAGTCGATTAGCACTAAAAAAAATTTCATTAATTTTATTCATTTTTATGGACAACTCACGCATTATCAAAAAATTGACTATGCCAAAATTGTTTTCACAAAAAAGACTTAATGGTTCTTAGACCGTTTTCCTAATATCTTCTATGGTTTCGTATTTCCCCATACTGTCCCATTGAAAAAAAAACACTGTATATGTCAAGTAAACTATTAGCTATTATGTAAACAAAAAGTTATTGTACAAAGCATTCTAGTGCCATAAATTAAAAAAAAAGTTATTTCAAATTTAGAGACACACTTCTTTTAAAATGTCGATCATTGGTACCATCACCCGACGAGTAATTTGTTACCGTACATTTAATTTAAACATATTTTGCCTGTTTCTCTAAATTGTTACGTTTTCTTTTTCCTTAAAATACATTATAAATACTCTTTACTGCAACGCGAACAAAATACAGACTCCAATACAAAGGCATAATGGTAGGTCTTGGCCCAATTGGCCTTATTATTTGTAATCGTCAGCTGGCTTTGTGGTTTCACGTCATAATTATAATACGACGACATATGAATGAATAATTATACACTTGCACACATTTTATCTGTTTTTATAAAGTCATTGCCAATGTTATAAATTAAGCATACACGGCGTCTGTATATGTCTTATGAACTTATACAATTTGTAACCTTAACAGATAGTTCAGGGATTTTAAGAGGTGTGTGGCGCCGCGTCTGCGTACAATAACAGCTGCGGCACAGCGGACCTATGTGACAAACGCCTGCGTGTAATTATGAGTAAAATATCTAAATGTTTATACTCAAATAATCTTTTCATCACACTTGCTCGTAAATACTATGATTGCATGGTGGCTAACTTGAGTATAATACCGCAATTAAACTTTCGGGCCTTTTCCTTTCCATTACAGCCATGGTTTTTTTTATTTGTAGCACGAGATACATAGCTCAGGTTCAAGTTCAAGCAAGGAGGTTGCTTAGGTTCAAAATTAAAACATTTCGCTTAAAATCTTATCTAAACAGAAATTAAATTGCAATTCAGTCCCATACTTCTTGAATACTTATTATTAAGAATTTGTTATAATTGATTTTAATTATTTTGTGTAGAAAAAATTAGCATTTTTTTTTACAGAGTTGTATTATCTATGGAAGAATAGCTTGTTGGCCATGAGTTGATAACAAAACACCAAAAAACTCGCTATTTGCGTTGTGTTGTGAACCATATTTATTCATACAAGAAATAAACGTTGTATTTAATACAAATGTAATTTCCTATTTAACCATCCTTAATACACAATGAACTATCATTTCATAGGTTTGCAAATTACACTTGAAATCGCTATATCGATTAAACTGTACAGTTCAACCCTAAGATTCCCCTGAGAAGAATGATGAGCAATAAGGTCTAGGGGTTGCTCTTTGTAAATATACAATTGTACACATTTATACTTTACAATATTTTTTTCACCTCACTAGCTCGGAAAGGCCTTCTTTCTGATTCGCTCTGGACCTTTTGGAGGGAAATGTGTCGTTTTAATTTTGACTTTCAATTAATTTGTGAAATCTAGTTTAAAGTGGAATAGGATAGTGCTGTTGTGCCTTAATCGAAGATTATAACGCGAAATTATACGAATCTCGAACTAAAATACCCGTATCGGCCCGTTCTAAGGAATCCCGAGTCAATCCAAGCACGCCGCCTCAAATTGCCTATCCTCTTTGTGGCGGCCATATTTACAGAAACATAATTAAACTTCATGTTTAGGCTGATGGCTTTGCCAAAGCCTTAATAAATTAATTAAAAAAAAGGCTTTCTTTGTCATTAGAAATCTGCGCGCAAAAACGTTTTTGACGATGGACTGTGGTGCACCTAACTTTTTCTTTCGATAAAAAAAAGATAATGGCATTTTCAATCAAGCGATCTGTCGTACATTACTTATTTATGTAACATAAACCCGTTGGCATATTTTATTCTTATTATTGTTGACATTAAATTGACAACGATAAGTAATTGTGTTTATTAAATTGTTTTAATTCGTCAAAGTATAATAATTCGAATAATCACATAATTACATAAAATAAAACTACAAGTACGAATAAAAATTGATGAGGTGTACATTCAGAACTTTTTCTTTTCATTAAAAAAGGTTTTATAGTTCAACTGCTGTTCTTTCATCTACCATTTCCCTGGCTATAGTGAGGTGAAAGGTTGTGATTTTCGCTTGGCAGCAAAGTTGTTTTGCGTCTCGTGCCTTGAAACCCCTACTACGCTCAGGATATTTGAACCACTCGCTTCAATCTTCAATTTTAGCTTCCTTCGTTTGTTTACAACAACTTTGCAGCCTTGCATAACAAATAACTATTTCTTGTCACTATTACGGATTTTTGTCATCTATATACGCAGAAGCTGTATATATAATAAACCTTTAGTATAACGTTTTTGTTTCACCATAGTTTTAAACCAAGTGATTGGCAAATTTTGAATATCAATCAGAATCTTATTATACTCGTAGAAGCGTATACATTGCTTCTCTAAATGAATTTGTGACTTGTGAAGATGGCTATTAAGAATAGCTAGTTTGTTTTTATTCCTCGTATCATAAACTACATTTTCATAAAATGTACTTTGACCAGAGATGGGCAAGCGACCGGGTATTAACCCGGCGATTTGTTAACGCTGGATTAAACCTGGTTCAAACCCGTTAATGCCCAAAATCGAAGGCAAAAACTATTTACAACTAAATATTTCTTATAAATCGATAAATTGCTTTCTGATCTAGACGATTCGACTTGCCTTTCTATTGTATCGATTTGCTTGAAAATCGCATTGACATAAATCGATACAAAAAAACCTTAGATCGTATGCATTTGAATCGTTCTTCACAAATATCCAATCGTGCATGTGCATCCTTAGTAGTGAGAATCCACAGGATTGCAAGGTAGAGAAAGATTTTTTACATCGAAATTTGTAATAAGAAAGGAATTATACTAAATTCCGTATTTGTCTCTTCTGCTTACGATTTTGGGCAGCATCTCTGACTGTGACGCTAATGTAAGAATATTACTTTCTTTAAACTTATTTGTCAAAGACACAGTTTCAAAAGTATTTCGTAAAGTGTTTTTTCATCGTAACAAGTTTTTTGTTTGATCAGAAATTTGAATTTTTTTTAAATTTAGGCAATCACCCTACCATACCATGTACACCTTTATATACCTACATGCATTGACGTGTTCGAACGTGAATTGTAAACAGGCTACGTAGATGTGATGATCATCACTTACCTTGACAATAATGTCAAGTTAAAACCTCGTTAGTTATGAATGTTGCGTTTTGCACGCTACCATAGGTACTTTGCGCAACTAAGAAGTCGAATTACAGTTCAAGATCTTGTCCTTACTTCATTGACTGTCATGATATTTATCATAATAAATAACATAGCTTTTGCTATTAACAATAAGTAGTTCTAGTAATAGTAAAATTTGTTTGGCCCAAGGTTAAGGCATCTAATAAGCCGTACTGCCATTTTTTTTTTCTTTAATCGAAACTTATGTTGTATTGTTTGAATTATTATACTTAAAACTAAAAATTAATTCGTGTAAAAACTGTAATTGTAGAAATGAAAACTTTTTTAAAAGTATGCCGTTTGATCACAAACTGACTTGAGTTTTTTTTTAATATTCATAGTTTATACATCCATTGATCAAATATATCACTGGGGTAGGCAAAGACAATGAAACTCCACTCACCACCGCCACTCACGTTCCTGACAAATCTATTTAGCGTTCTCCACTCGTATCAGTCTTCATACGTGGCTATTTATTCTTGGTACTTTTAATATGTCTCCAATCAGATCGATGTATGTACGTCGAAGTCTACTACATATCCATCCACATTCGCTCTATAAAGTGTCGTCAATCTCCTAATATCGTTTCTGTATGACCAAACCATCGAAGCCATTACTTTTTCTGCTTTCAATATACTTATCGTGTTCTATTAATGACCGCCCGGTTTGGCAACTTTGAGAAGAAAAAGAAGGATATTTTTTAAATTATGTTTTCTTTTTCGACGTAATCTCCTTTTAACTCTATACATCTTGACCACCAATACCCCAACTTATTGAACCAATCAAAAAAAATTTTTTTTGTTTCAAAAAATGTTCACCTCACCTTTTATTTCTATTTTTTTTTCTATTTTTGCGCTAATTTAAAAGTAACGTCAGTTGCTTAGTAAGGAGTTCTAAATTAAGAAATAAAATTAGGAAATTTTTTTTTAAATTTATTCTATGTTTGAGTAATTTTCACATTAGTTTTCTTTACCTAATTTCCCATTTATCAAACCACCCTAGTATAAGTATAAGTCCGTGAACCTTTAAGTAATAGAACGACAAGAAACAATATTCCGACAGATTGAAAACAACATAGACCACAGAATTTCAAAAAAGTTGGTAATAATTAAAGCACTAAAATAGAAGTAGGTAAAAGTACAAGACCTTAGCAGTGTCGGCATCGGGGCATACGACGTGTTGATAGTTGATGTTGATGTAGTCTGTGCCGCTGCAGATCGTCAACGATTTGTCCTCCAACGCGTCGCCATGTTTGTTTAGTAGATTTGTGTACAGCTTTGTGTCCTAGAACAAGATAAATCATTGGGAGTGTGCTGGTAAACGTGCTTAATTAACCTTTGATAACAGAGTTGGTGAATCAACCATATTGTTAAGGCGAGTCATTGGAGGAGAAACGGGAAAAACTACTTACATCAAATATGTTCGGTATTTCCTATTAAATAACGGTCTTACTAAAAATATACGATACACTTAAGAATATTTTCTAAAGATCGTGCTCATTTGTTGCTCGATACGATGTACTTTACTCAATCATATAAAATCCTGAAAACAGGCCAAAGTAAAATAAAATAAAATATCTAACTTTGCAAATAATTTTGATATGGAAATGTTTCTCATTATGTACCACAGAGAACCTGCTAAATTTTTTCAACTAAAGCCCTATAGTTATTAAATTCACAATTAACTCGAAATTTGAAAATTGTCCATCGGTTTAACGACACGCCGCGCTGCCGGTTGCCGCGTCAGTCGCAATTTTCTCCGCCTGTTCTTATTTTACTTTTTCTTCTCTACTTACTAATTGAACGAAGTTAGTTCCGCATACAGATTATCAAGTTTATAATTAAGTGCCAAGACGTAAAAGTGTTTAAACTAGTTGTTTACACTATACGGACGACACGTGGCTTACCGAGGCGGCTAACTCTTGTGTCCTAGTGTATTCTAAAGATGAAGCGATAAGACGTATCGGTGCAAATAATAAATCGCCAACTATACCATAATTGGTCTTATTCTACTACGACGATACGGAGATGCGAGAATGGCTCCGTAAGACGAAGGACCTGTGATTTGGCTCGTATCTGATTTGTACTTTACCCAATAGACATAAAGTTCATTATGCTATGGTTACGACAATTCGCTTCCATTCACCGCGGCAATGGAAATTAAGAGTCGAGACTACCTCCGCTCGAATTAAAAAATTTCCCGTACCAAATCGGTTCTACTGTGTGGCAGGGACGCTGGCTTTATTTCACAATTTATTTTTGTTACAAACGAAATGAATGCCATTTAATAAATGTATATAGTATACTATATGTGTTCGTGTATTTAGTTCAGTTATTTAGAATACAGTGGTTTTCTTGTAAAATTTCGAGGTATGTTTGTGTTTTTTTTTACCGTGAAAATTTTTACGAGTCGTGTTTTCATACCGTATAAATATCCTCGATTTTACTACATATTTGTTCCAAAGTTAATGATTCAACACTTCCAGTATTATACGGATACAACCAAAGCTAGTTGAGGTTGTGTAGATTCCTAAACATTTCTTTTAATTCATAAATAAAGTCACTTAAGTGTAGCACAAATTTCAATTTTATTATTATAATATTAAGTGCCGGGACGGACAAGAATAAAATATTTAATAAAAAAAGATTCGTTTACAAGCTACCATTATATATGCATACAGACAAAGACATTAAATACTACATATTTCTTCGATTTTTAATTTCAGATACAGATTAATTGCTAATTAAATATGCGAGCTTAATTGGTGTTATAATTAGCTGTGATAAGTGAGCACGCTTCAGTGATACGTTCAAATAAATTGCTTTGACGTTATAAATATACGAGATAGCATCCCTTGCTTAATATAAAATAAATTTGATACACAAGTTATATTTAGAATTTTTATTATTAATCGTAGAAAACTGGAACCAAGTCAGTAATAAGCAGATATCATAATAGGCAGTCTATATATAAACTTCTTCCGTGATAATATCCTACACTTCAAGGAAATAATATATGTATACAATTTTTCGGAATTTATGTACTATTCTAAGTAACAATAATTAGTAAGTTTGGCAGGAGCGAAAGGAGGCCTATACCCTGTAGTGGGTAAGAGACGGGGCTGAAATGAACGAATGAAAGAAGTAATAATATGCCATTTTAAACTGTCTCCGTGGCCGAACGGTTACCACGCCGGACTGCCACGCAGAGGTCCCAGGTTCGATTCCCGGTTCGGGATAAATATTTGTATGGCCTACATTTATTTCTCTCGTGAGTTTGGGTGTAATTTATGGTTTTCTATGTGTGTGTCCATGGCACCCGCGACACAGGGTTTTCCCTAGTGCGGGGTTATGTTGAGTGTGTGCGTTATTATTATTATTTTGTTTATATTTTTTGTTTTTTTTTTTAATATTGCCGGATTTCAGAGGGAGGTATTGTTCACTCTATGTGTATTAATTAAAGTTTAGGTAAACACACTTCTTCGATCTATGAAACAAGATATACTGGTAAAGTAAGTCTAAAGTAATTCGTGCTATATCTATTTAAATTTCTTAACCTTGTTATAAAGTTATAATTAAAATGTGATGTAATAAACAACTGTATAGCATAAATATTAAAGATTAAATTTGTAATTTATTCCAAACTCACTTAATTTAACGATAACTTCCAACTGTGCAACGAGAGTGCTCAGGTATTTATATCAGGGTTGTTGCTGATGAAGGGTTTTTACACATCATCATCGGATAATGATTTCTTGACCTTAACATAAGCGGATGCTGATTTTATGTATTTAAAAAAAAACCAAAAATGTACATTCTCATTAAATCTAATATATATATACATTTAAAATATACTACTAACAAAATAATAAATCTGCATGACAACAATTAATCTGCCTGGCTTAATCCTTGTGGAGTTATATTCTAAAAACAATAGGTGAGCTCACGCTGCTTTTTCGGCTAACAGTCTGTATCTCGAAGATTTGTAAATTATTCTAGCATGTGTTTGAGGCTCAACTCACACTGGCACAGAGTCGAAGCGTCGCAACGCGTCATGTTTTTCGCCTATAGCATATTTGTCTCTATTTTCTCATTATTAAGGTACAAATTTTTGTTATGCAAATAAGCGACGCTTCCATTCTGCGACAGTGTGAGTTGAGCCTAAGGTCGCATCACGACTCGAACATCGGCATTGAATATCAGCATCGATGAATGCGGATGCAGGCGCAGATATTTTAATTCATGCAGATTATCAGCGGATGCTGATATTCGCAACAACCCTGGTTTATATTAAATCATTAACAGCGTTGAAAATGTTAAGGAATATGAAAATGTAATTTATTACCTTGGGCACACCTCCCGACCTGACGTCACTGACTTGGCATAATTCAATAACATCGCCGTCCTGAAACAATAAAACGGTTTGCCATGAATGCATTGACTTACAAATAAATGGACGACGGGTCTAATACAAAAACCACGAAAAAAATGTCCCAAGTCAACCTATTCGAAATTTAAATTGTAATGTCATCGCAGTATCGCGCTGTCAGTCGAACAAATGAAGACTAAAGCGGAGTGTCGCGCTCTGTATACGATTTTAGCGCCTTACAAGTGCGGACACTTTTTAGCGCGGACCCGACGTCCATATAATTGTAAGTCAATGCATGAATGTATTAAAATATCGCAAGATGAAATCAGTTAAGTCACTTAACGAAAAAGTCAACCTACAGGAGATGGTCGTTGAAGTTTCTTAAAATAAGATTTAAGACTGTGTCTCACGCTTTAGTAGGTACGGTATTGGTTTCAACGTGGAATATACAGTGTGTTTTTTTTAACTGGGACTGTATGAGGGAATCCGAAACCATAGGAGAGGCGATGGGATAATTTTAATGGGCATATCACGCTAGACCAAAAAATTAACGAAATCAAATTTGTTTTCACATAAATAGACCTCGTGGTTACTAAGGCCGCGCGACAATCGCGCTGCAGTCACGCTCGGTTGCAGTCTATCATCAATATGGCTTTTTAAGAGTTGAAGTAATTCCATAAACACGATTCTATTCATTCTAATGTAATTTTAGAATTTTTTGTCGTTATATTGCCGAACCTTGTAGTATTGTAGTATTTTCATTATTATAACAAAATAAAGGTAACGAACGGATTCTAATACGTTGTGGTATTCTTTTTAATTTTTTCTTCTTTAGTTTTAACAAAATAAGTAAAAGTAATGTTTCTTCATCAGAATCCATCGTAACTGAGTCGAAAGATAAAAACATCACTAAAAATGTGGTCGCACTTGTGCACAGTAGCGCTTTGAACAGCGGCTAATTTGAACGCGTCCTAAGACAGTTTTCCTGTACATCCAAAGGTCCCGGATAACCACATACTGTCCCAGTTGAAAAAATCATACTGTAGACAGATATCTATCTATTGCTATTACCTTAATAGCAATGGTCAAAATATGGATTTTCTAAATGAAAAAATGCAGTAAATAACCTAACCTAACCTTTTAATTAATACGTGTATTATTGTAGATACCACAGACCATATAAATACTAGACAGATATTATATTCATGGAATAAAGAAACTGATGATGCTATTCGAAAATACTTATTAATATTTCGTAGTTTTAACCACTGCTACTTCTTGTAGATATTTGACATATTTAGACATTTAGTCATTGACTTACAAATAAATGGACGACGGGTCTAATACAAAAACCACGAAAAAAATGTCCCAAGTCAACCTATTTAAACGTAGTGACATGTAAAGGAATATGAAAAAGCTAAAACGTTGAATTTAAATTGTAATGTCATCGCAGTACTGTCTAATTTTGCTTGCTTCGCTGTCAGTCGAACAAACGAAGACTATAGCGTGAATGACGCTCTGTATACGATTTTAACGCCCTATAAGTTCGGACACTTTTTAGCGCGGACCCGAGGTCCATATAATTGTAAGTCAATGCATTTAGTACTCGTATGGAACACTCTATTCCGACCATTTGTATTTATTACAAATCTATTTGAGAGCAATTATGACAACTCAGCACGGAGTGAGGTTAGATTATATAAGAATGAAAGATGCGACCATGAAAACGACATTACAACGTAGACAATTTAGTTCTACTTATTATCCTGTGCAAGTTTCTTATCTCTGCAATGAGGAATACAATTGCACATTATCCTTCCCCTTCCCATGACCTAGACTCAGTGCAGACAATCTAGCCTATTGTAAAGCGAAGGAGATTAGTTTCCTGTTAACGATGAAACTGTCAGATGCAGTTTTCCGTTGAAGATGTTGCAATACTGGTGACCTTATTTTTCAAATGTTTGGAGGGAAGCTAACCTCATTTTACACAAGTTCATTTGAAAAATGCTAACAACCTCGCATGAATATATTCCTGAAACCATAAACAACAATTTTTGTTCCACTACTTTTTACAAAACTCGATAAATTCACCAAAAATAAACTTTTAAGTTTTTGTTGCACTACCCGACACTTATTAAAACCGCATTTGGTAATGAGGTAGTAAATTCAATCCAATATTTACGCTGGGGCTTCTTTTTGTTACCACACAGATCTATCACTGTATAGAGCGGTCTATTTGAATATTATCTGCCTCCGTGGCCGAACGGTTACCATGCTGGACTGCCACGCAGAGGTCCCGGCTTCGATTCCCGGGCTGGGAGAAATATTCGTATGGCCTACACTTAGAATAATAACGTATAGAAACCTAGTCAAACAAATTGAAGCGCGCCAAAAGGGCCTATACGAGCGGGCGGGCCTTCAAGCTCATGGTCAACTTGCACCGCGAACAGATCAAGAATTTTAGCTAAAAGTGACGAAATGTGCGGTAAGTGAGTGTAAAAATACGTCAGACAAACATAAAATAGATACTAACATCACATTCCACAAGGAAGTAACGCGTTTCAACTTGTATTTTTATATAAATATTCACTAAAACCGAAAATTAACCTACTACTAAAACTAGCCTACATGAATTTGATTTTTGCCTCACTTGTGACAGTTCGTTTGATATGAAACTATCATTCTATGCGTTATTATTCTAAGGGCCTACATTTATTTCTCTCGTGAGTTGGGTGTAATTTGAGGTTGTCTACCTTTGTGTGTGTCCATGGCACCCGCGACACAGGGTTTCCCTAGTGCGTGGTTATGAGTGTGTGCGTTATTATTATTCAGTTGCAGTAGAGATCCTTGTGAAAAAGTTCGTCCTGCGAAGAACTGCCATCTTACCTATTTCTGCCGCCAAGCAGCAGTGTCAGCATTACTGCGTTCCGGTTTTGAAGGGTAAGGGAGCTAATGAAATTACAGTCACATGAGACTTGTCAACTTATGTTTCAGGGTGGCGAGCGCAGTGGCAGTGAACCTAAGATCTTTGTGTGATAAAGCTCTGAGTGGCACTGCAACTGTTATGGACAGGCGTGTAGCTTAACTACGACTCGTTCTTTCCGTCACAAGTAAAATTTGAGGAATTATTAAAAGTAATGGGACAAAAGTTGTTGTTTATGATGTCAGTGATATAGTCCTGCGAGGTTGTTGGTACGTGAGGCTTACTATTTCGGAATTAATAAGAAGAAAATATTATAAATGGTCAGAAATGAATTTATTGTTTCTCAAAATATTCTCCGTTAGCGTTAATACAATTATTCATACGAATGAACCAATTTTGAAAACATTTACGCCACTCCACCGTGACAATCTCTGAAACATATTTTTCATACTCTTCGACAGCCTCTTCAGGTGATGAAAATCCTTGACCGAGCAACTGGTTCTTAATTTTTAGAAATAAATAAAAGTCACAATGTGCCAGGTCGGGACTGTACGCGGGATGGCTCATAAGGTCAACGTTGTTCACCTTCAAAAATTCATTTGTCTGTCTGGCCGTGTGAGAACTGGCATTATCGTGGTGCAAGATGATACGGCTTTTATGGTTATTTTTACGGAGTTTGTCAATAACTTCCGGCCTAACAAATGGTCGTGTACCAATCACTATTCACGGTACAACGATTTTGCAGCAGCAGTAGCCACGTGTCCAGTTTTATTAAAAAAAGAAGCAATCATCGCTTAGAGGCACATTGCACGCGTGCCGCTTTGGTTGGTTTCGGCTCATCTCGATTACTGCTTTGTTTTGGGATCGTAACTATAAATCCATGTTTCGTCACCTGTTACTATGTCCCACACCAAATTTGACGCCCCTTCGTTGAATCTGGTAAGCATGGCATTGCACCAAGTGAGGCGATCCGTTTTTTGAGTCTCAGTCAAATTGTGTGGGATCCACTGAGAGCACAGCTTTTTCACACCCAAATGTTTGTGTAGTATTGATTGTATTTGACTCATGCACAGAAAAAAAGGAATTCTATTAATAAGAAAGAGCAATTTCTCAAAATATTTGCTAATTCTGAAAGAATATTTATTAAAAGTAATAAAATATTGTCATTACAAAAATACTGCTTATCTTTTTCTAATACAATTTTACTCCTAACTTTATTCTAACTTTTAGACATATACGTTCACTTCAAGATTTTATTTCATTCCTAATCAGTTAGTTGGACATTACTTAGACCAAGAAATTTTTACCTCTTACATCGAATTCAAATAGTCTTAAATGAATTTAAAATTTTTTGGGTGTATTTTAAGAAAATATATTCTTAGGGTCGTATTCTAAAACTCTACTCAATGCTCAAGTCGGGATTTATGTATGGTTTGAAGCACTCGAAATCATACTCAAGTCCCTGCCATTACGGTCGTATTTCCACTGCTTGAAATCATACTCACATCCTGACTTGAGCATTGAGTAGAGTTCTGGGATACGACCCTTAGACAAATAAAGAAGTATTATTGCTATTCAGATTAATATTCTAAATTCTTGAGTATATTTTTTAAAGCAACATGTCGCCGAAGGCGCACGCGATAACGATTACTTTTACTTGTCATTTTTCTTTTTTTTTTGTAGTATCTCTTTGTAATTTGTTAGTGTGTTCTTTGTACTCATAATTTAAGAAATTTAGTTTCAGCATGATATCAAACTACACTTGTTGTGTAACAAGCAAACTTTAACATGCAATTAGTTCCATCGCGCCACTGCTAGGTGGCATTAGTTGTACTCTGAAACGGGCTATCGTTTTCTTAACTTCAATAGTATAGGTCATCTCATATGATTTGAATTGTTAATGCTTTCTACTGCTGTAGGAGTTATATGGCACTGAACGGCACTCAAGGATTTAAGACTATTCTGTCCTATTCTGCTACGTGTTTGGTACTGAATTGTGTGCTTTCACGCTAGTGGAGATCATACTGTTGGATCCATAACCCTGTAAATTTACCCTTTTTGATAATATGTACGCCTTTCTACACTAAAGTCTGCGTTTCAATTCGTCGTATTA